CTTACAGGGCTAAAAGTCATCATGACATCAAAATGGTTCATTCTTATAGACTATGGCATATTTATTATAAATGATTTATCTGTGCACAGTGCACATTATTATTATTTTAGTGTCCTTAAAATCTTGAATCAAAATAAATTCCCAATCTGAAATCTTGGCTGTGTCTGATTCCGAAATCACATACTCTCTTGACTTGAGTATGGGGTTAAAACTGTGCCAAAAATTAATTGACTGTTTTGTGCTTTGTAGGACATTTATTTGTCCTTGACAACAGTCAGTGCCTTGTTCAGGAAAATTAGTATGTTTATGTGTATGTTCTCTGTTTATGTCAGGTTGTTCTGTCATCTTGCTTTGTTGTCCTTACAGTTGTTCTGTTTTATCGTCCTTACTGTTATCTTGTCATAATTACTGTATTTTGAATAAGTTGGCTAATTATTTTACAACCACTAAAAACATATGCTCTATATCCTATATGTAAACTGGGCATGTTGTCATTATCATTTATCACTTACCAACGTCAGTTACGTCGCTTCACTGCCCTTCTCGTCCTTGGCCTCATGGGATAGTAAAGTGTCCAATGTTCACACTTCAAAATCCCTCCGGAAGAGGTCTGGGTACTTTTTGCCTACTCTTTTATACCATGAATTTGAACATAGGCCTACTTATTTTGTCACTTACTGTTTTTCACCTATATAGGCCTATAGTAGGGAAGTATGCGACTGTGAGGAAAAACTGTCACTCACACGATCAAATCAATTCCCAATGGACAAAATCAAGTCCCGCCCAACGTTTTTTTCTTGTTCGAGAACCCGTCTCAGTCACAAAATATCATCTTTAAAAAGACTACCTGAACAACAGCAAAACAAAAACAGCATTAGTAGGCTACTGCTCCAACATCACCACAAGGAGGCAGTGATGATCATCTTTAATCGAATTGTATTTATTTACTGTAAAAAAAAGCAATGTGATTTTTTTTTTTTTTGCATGATCTATAAAAAATTTATTGAAAAATCACACATTTAGCCCACTGTAAAAACATTGTTACTCTCACGCGCTCTCTAGGCTAACATTGACTGCATGTTTGGTTGTAGCCTATTTAACATTCGATTCAGCAGTACAGTGCTACATAATCAACAGTTTCTATTTGCTAATTAGATGATAGTCTCATATTGCAAAAGCTTTTAAAGATGTGAGACAGAGAATGATGAGTCAGCACGGTGAATCAGATATTTCACTTGGCACAGCTGCTTTCACCACCATTTTATGTTTCCTTGAGGCTCAAGCTCTCATAAATGCCAAGTTTGCCAACCATAAATCATTCTCTGCCTGAAGCTTTAAATCAAAGTTTCCTACTCACATCCCCTTCTAACCTGAGAAGAGTTGATGCTGTCATTTAGACATCTTAAATTAGTAAGTAGTCTGACACAAGAGTTACATTTACAACTTATTGAAATTTTGCATATCTATTTTGATCATAAAACTCATGCATTTTGCCGACAGTTAGCAGTTTCATGATGTACACACATCTAGAATCTTTTTTCTGTGATTGCATGTAGACAATCAAAACTCACCACCAACCCATAATAATTCAGAGAATTATCGCGACAGTGTGCGTCACTGATGTCACTCTGACTATGCTCCATTTAAAGTGACCTAAATCCAGTAAAGCTTTATTCATGATGCTGCATTCTAAGGCAAGCTTCCAGAAACTCATACCAGTGACTCCTGTTCCATGGTACCTGAAATGCATATATGATTCCTAAAATCCTTCACGGAAAAAGTAGAACCCTTAAACATATAAGCAGTCAGTTTAGTAATGCTTAATGGCATCTCTGTGAGCCATTAGAATGGATTAGATTCTAACTAATCCAGCCCTATTTAAACACAACCGTTTTCTACTCATCAATCCAGAAAACAGAATAAAATTACTTATGAACATATGATGTGCCTGCGCGTATATTGTATATTATATTGTCTCAAGTCTCAGTTTGACCATTCTGGTTGTGATGTCTTGGTCTGTGTTTTAGGTTTGTTATATTCTGAAATAACCTTCGTAAATGAGTTCAATAAACCTACCTTACATAACTAGATGTACACATCACTGATATCACTCAATTATTCAACAAATTGTATACTGTCAAAAATCTAGACTATTTTAGGACGTTTCATGGTTTAATATGACACTAATCAAACAAGGCACAATTTATATATTACATGTTTGGAACATTCAAAAACTCTTTTCAAAATTGATAATAATTGAGCACCAAATCAGCATATTAGAATGATTTCTGAAGGATCACATAAACTGTAAAAAATGAATATGCTTAATCTAATCAATAGAATTGTGGCAACAGATTACAAGCAATATTATTAATTAAATTTAACAAATTAGAATTGAGTAATAATTAATTATTAAAAATTATTCCTTAAAGGTTAACCATTTAAAATAAATCAAGTTTACACCAAAAAAATTAACAAAAATATCTCACTAACAGACAGACGATTAATTAAGAACTCTTTATTTTATATTGCCAACATTGAAGACACCTGATGTTAACAAGCAGAATCACTGAAGGAGAAAACCGTCACTTTAAAACAAACACCGATCACCATAATGGTGACTTAAATTTATGTTTTTTTTTTTGGTTGTTGTTGTAAGTTTTATTAATTTTAAATGGTTAACTTTTAAGGAATTCATTTGATTAATTATCAATTCTAATTTTGTTAAATTGAATTAATAATTTTTTTTAGATTAGATATAGCGTACTCATTTTTACAGTGAAACACTGAAGACTAAGAAAATAAAGCTTGGCCATCCCAACAATACATCACAGTTTAAAATAGAAAAGTTATTTTGAATTGTAATATAATTTCACACTATATTACTGATTTTACTTTATTTTGGATCAAACACATGCAAAGGCTTATTTAAAAAACGTGAATTATTCCAAAATTCATCAATGATTATGAGTAGCCTACAGATTAGTGCATTATGGACACTACCACCACAACTGCTTTATTTAAACCAATTAAATATGTTAGATATGGTAAAAGAAAAGAAAATGATAATTAATGTGCCATACAACACTTCTATTTAATATGATTCAAACAGACGTTCAATATAAATGGGCAAGAAAGTGATGCTTTTTACATATATAAAATGTTTTAATAAAACATTTAAAAGGGTGTTTAGTTGAGAAGCAAGCAACAAAGCATCACAAGACACGCATTATGGTTATAAAGCTGTTTTCCCTCTATCATCGGGGTCATTGAGTGCACAGACTCCAGTCATATTAACACACAAACAGAAGACCCTTCCCCCAGTGCATACCATGACCATAGACTGTACATTCCCACCCCCGCCTTGGCTTGCGCTCTTCAAGACTCTTTCTTTCTCTCAATATTAAGCTTAAATATGCAGCAAACATATTTACCTCATTTGGTGGAGCCAATACTTAGCATTTTTTTTCACAAACATAGTAATAGTTTTTATTGTGAGAACTGACAGTAGGTTATGCCCAAAATTGTCAGAACAGATAGTGTCAGTCTAGCAGGCAGGTGTTTGGGTGTTAGTATATGGGAACAAAATGTCCTCTCATGCATGACTGCCAAATGCAATGGATAACAGCAGTCTATGGAGGGTGACTTTGTTTTAAGAGGGGATTTATCTTGTCTGAACTGATTAGTATAATGTGGCTGTTTGTGGTATCAGGCGACAAAAATCAGACAAGTATTTAGTAGCCGGACCGTGGAAATCAGACCGGTCACATCACCATGACTCTGGACTAAAGGATTACATTAGGATTTGTTTTCTCAGCACATATTCTGTTGGTTCTCCGCATGCAGCCAAAAAAAAAAAAAGAGCCTATACCAGCCGAAGCATGCTCTACAAGACCGCGGAAGGTGTTCTGTGGTTTCTGGCACCAAGACGTTGGCAGCAGGTCCTTCATGTCCTGTAGGTTGCGAGATAGAGCCTCTGAATCTAACATTTTGATCCCACAGATGCTCAATTGAATTGAGATCTGGGGAATTTTGAGGCTAGCGCAACACCTTGATAACCAAGTTCCTCAAACCATTCCTGAACAATGGGTGCAGTGCAGAAGGGTGTCTTCCATTCCGGACACGCAGACTCAAACCGACTCAGACACCTTGTCGACGTATATGTGATGTGAGCAACCCGTCTGTCTTCTAGTGGCTGTGGCATGAGAAATCTGAATCATTCCCTTCCGAAACTTGCATAGGCGGAGAGTGTGAATAGGAGCTGTCCATAAGCTAGGAGCAGGAGAAACTTTTGCTATAGATATTCTGATTAATTATTTTTTCATTTTGCCTCCATGTTTCCCCGATTGCCACAAGCTTCTCCTCCTGTTCATACGGTAATCTCGCTACTGTGCGACAGAGTCGCATGGTTATGATGCAATCGTTAGCCTACTTTTACAAAAAACTGCTTCTATGGGGCCATATCACAAGCATTTTATACATTGTTGTGTTTCTTTAGAAATAAATAATGGACAAATGGAGTCTTCAAACGCCTCAGATGTAAAGTTATTCGCTGTCAAAGTGACGCCAAAAGGACTGGGAGTCAATGGAAATGCTAACGCAAGTGAAGTTTAGCAGAACAAGATGGCAGCTCCCGCGAGGCTTCAACTTCCGGTCGATGGATTACCCCATTGGATCTCACTCACAGATTGTACACAAAAACGTGGGCGCCGTCATCTTTAGAATATTGTCTTTGAACTTCCGGTTTCGCTGTATATTTCTATGGCATCGCTATCGAGGAGTAATTAGCTGGTGAAGTGGATTTACTTATTGTAGAGTTAACAAAAGTTATCATGAGCATTGTAATGTTTCTCTCACAAAAACTAATCCAGAAGCTTCACTAGTGTATTTTTTACGTATATTTCAAATTAAATCTTCTAGTTACAGCATTATTTTTCTATACATTGACTCCTTGGGTCTAACCTGCAATTTGCCCATTAAAAACATTGAAACAAAACAAATTATGATTTTACATGGTTTATTGATCAAAAACATCAAAACAATAAGAGATGCCACCCAAAAGAGTGAAGCGTACAACACAGCTCTAATGTGCTTTACACAAAGGAAAGTCCATTAAAAAAAAAGTCAGACTTTGACACAAAAAAGCACAAAGTGCTTCACAAAAAGAGCACAAAAGAGTAACAAAAACGTCAAGGTCTGAAGAGGCCAGTTAAGCAGAGCAGCATCACAGTGTCAGAGAAGGAAAGGTTGCATAGACGAGTGCGTTGTACAGTCAAAATTGGACCACAAGGAATACAAAGAAAAACATAATTTGAGCAAAAGAGAGGACACAACAGGAAGTGAGCTTCTATTATGCTTGGTTCACTCTCCTCAGTGCAAGTGCAGTCTAATACTGTGGTTCGTCTGACTGCTATGACAAAATTCTGTTTCTGCCCTCTGAAACATCCAAACTGAAAAGAGTAAAAGTGAACAATAAAGAAAATGTAATAACCATTTTACCAACTTTTAACTGACCCTAAAAAAAAAAAATGAACTGACCCTCATTAAAAATACAATCGTTTAAAATGCCGTTCGGGAAAATAAATGTGGCTTAAAAAAAAAAAAAAAAAAAAACGAAATAATGCTCCCATTAAAAACAAAAAGCCTTTCCTTATATAGAATGAAAAATGTAAGCGAATGTATAAAAAGAAACAGAACCCTTTTGTTCCCAAGTGAAGAACCATTCGGCCCAGAATATTGCAACTCAAAACACCTTAAACCTGAGGTGGGCGATTCAAAAAAAATCTTGATCTAACAAGCCTCAAGTTTCTTCTAAAGCAGACAGCAATAAGCAGTAAAAGAAAAGGGAATAAAGTAACTAAAAGCTTGACATTATAGATTTATTATTCAAAAAAAATAAATAAATAAACCATCTGGAAAACATGAACCACTATTTTCTCCAAAAAACAGAAAGCACTGCTAGTTTATTTAGTGAAGTAGTTACTAAAACACAAGAGTGCTGAGGTAGAACTATAGCGCGCACAAACTGTCAAGCAAAATCACACTCGGAAACAGTCAAACACGCACAGACACACCAACTTGTTCTATATGAAGCATTTAGGATGCGGATGAAAAGAATCCAATGGTACCACTATGAGGATCCCATCCTGTTTTTGAGAACTATTCCAAGTAATCAACTAACAAAAAGGAAATATGCATAATCAGTCCATAACCTTCTCTTCCAAGTCCGAAAACAAATAATCTGTGAAACTGTATGAGTGTGTCTGTGCAGTAGGGATGTTGACATGGTTTTACATAGTTGACAGGGGAATTTTAATTGTAAACCAGAATCAGTCAATCTTTTTGGGCAAAAAAAAAAAAAAAAAAAAATCAATCTCACACAATGTAAAACTGGCACCAAAATGGTTAAACTACATGCCTAATATGTAAAGTGTTTAAAGAATGTACTGCATGTTAAAAGATAAAGCTGTAAAACAAGACAACAAACTAAAAGAAAATCTCAATATCACTTAGACTTCAAGGCACCAGAATAAATCTGCAATCTGCAAACCTAAATCTCAATACTGGGCTTAGGGTGAGCATTTTAGATTTAGCTATTTAGAATCAAGTTTTGAAAGTTAGTCTTTATCATAATTTCAGCCATTGCGATGCGACATGGCAAAGTCCATTGGAGTTTAATTGAACTTAAGTAAGACCAACTGGTTGGACAAGTGTAAGACTATGAAGCTTGTTTGGTGATGTGATGTAGACGCTTGAGCTCAAAAAGTAGTCAAGTATCTATGCGTATAATCTTTTATTAAATAAAAATTTTAAAAGTCTTGAAAAAAATAACTGAAATACTTCCGTTGATTTATTTATGGCAAAAGATTGTTATGAGAATATGAGCAACTAGGGAAGCTCCATGAACAATTTTAGAGACCTAGTCCTTCAGTAAGACTAATAAAGAGCTTGCTTGTTTAAGCTTGATTGTACTCACTGTATCACAACATTGTTTTTAGCTTTACTTCACTTTTAGTGACGTAACTGATGATGAGTTAGGCTGAACACTTCTGGGATTGCTGAATGATTCATTTAAATCACTACTGTAAACAAAAAACTGAAAGGTCATTGGAAAATCTATTTGTATTAATGTTCAAGTTGAGCACTTTGTACTCTTCACATTAAATCAGCAATGGAAGATTCACAGTTGTCCAAGCAATGTGGCCCCTTCTGGGCTGATGTGGAAAGGGAAAACCTAAAAAGAATGAAAAAAAAAAAAAAACAAAATCAAGTCATTAGAATTGGTACTTTAAATAGTCACACATTGGTTACAGCTAACAGATGAAGAAAAAAACATGTTTTGATAAATTAATTTTCATGATTACTACTGCATAAGAGTGCCCCCTAAAAGTGGACTTGGTGGTCCAACATTTCATTACATGGTTAGTCGCATGCAGGAAAAAAAAAATTCTCCATAGGAAGTGGCAAAAATCACACCAGTCTGTGATGGACCGATTGTTAACGGCAGGATATGCAACATGCATACCATTCATCAACCTCAAATATGGGTTTGCACAAATGTAAGATAAATATAAATAAATAAATATCCTAGAAAAGAGTAATGCAAACTGTAAAGGGTCTACCTTTATGTCTGTAAACTCACAATAACAAAAAAAGGTTGTGCTTTTGCAAAATAATGAAAACAAGCAGGATGCGCTTTCTGTCATCTCTGTCTCTGTGAACTTGAGCACGTCACAAAAATGAATGGAAACTTGGTGTATACTTGCCTCAGACATGACAAATATATCTATAGAAAGCTTGAAATACTCACTTTTAAATAAACCAATTCAAGAGGAAATCCGTGTGAAACGTGCATATATGCGCGTCCACTACTGCAGAGATGACGAGTCAGCATCGTCGACTTAATCTCGGCAGCCAGAAACACAAATATTATATAGCTATAGGCAATAAAAGGCTCATTATTATGATTTATGGCTTTTTAATGTAAACATGTAATTAGTCGACGAAATCGCTTAAATGAACGATATATACACTACCGGTCAAAAGTTTTAGATCAGTAAGATTTTTTATGTTTCTTCATTTATGTTTATGTTTTAAGTCTCTTCTGCTCACCAAGGCTGCTTTATTTGATGAAAAAAAAAAAGACAAACAGTAATATTGTGAAATATTATGACATTTTAAAATGACTGTTTTTTTATTTTAATATATTTAAAATGTAATTTGAAAGCTGAATTTTCAACATCATTACTGTTGCTGTTTACACATCAGTTTTCAGTGTCACATGATCCTTCAGAAATCATTCTAATATGCTGATTTTATGCTCAAAAAACATTTTGAGTCGTGTACCATTTCCCCCCCTAAAATTCTATGATGAAAAGAAAGTTCAAAAGAACAGCATTTATTTAAAATATAATTTTTTCTAACATTATAAATGTCTTTACTGTAACTTTTGATCAATTTAACTCATCCTTGATGAAAAAAAGTATTTTCTAATTTCTTTCCCCCAAAAATAAAAAATAAATTCTTACTGACACCAAACTTTTGAATGGTAAATGGTCATTAAACTTTTGATTAATGTTACAAAAGCGTTCCATTTCAGATCAATTCTGTTCTTTTTGAACTTTCTATTCATCACAGAATCCTGAAATAAAAATATAAAAAAAAACTGTTTTCAACATGGATAATAATCATAAATGTTTCTTGAGCATCATATTATAATAATTTCTGTAGGATCATGTGACACTGAAGACTGGAGTAATGATGCTGTAAATTCAGCTTTGATCACAGGAATAAATTACACTTCACTATATATTCACATAAAAAACCCAAACCGCTGTTTTAAATTGTAATAATATTTCACAATATTACTGTTTTTTGTATTTTTTATCAAATAATTGCAGCCTTGGTGAGCAGAAAAGAGTTCTTTTAAAAACATAAAAATCTAAAACTTGTGTATATATAAAAAGGTCAAATATTTCACACAAAAAAAGAACATGATTTCCTGATATATCCAGGGTTTCCACTAACCATAGGAACCAAGATGAGAAAAAAAGTGAACACTTTTCACAAAAAGAGAAAAAGAAAAGAGTGGCGATGCATTTTCTATATTTTGAGTGACAGGCTAAAAAACAAACACAGGAGTGGTGATGTCATGATGGAGTTGCATAACACCTTAAATGGGTCAGAATCTCAGATTGCTTGTTGGGTAACCAGATTTACAAGCATTTCAAACACAACACAAATACTAAAAGTCTTTGCTGGCTATCGGTCAATAATCAGCTCGAGTGCAGCTTGATCTTCTCAGCTGCATACAGTGTAAAGACCTCACCCCTCCTCCTCATATCCTGCAGCTCAAACTATGTGCTGAGTCAGGAATAGCTATTAAAGCCCCGCTGCAGTCACTCGAACTACAAACCACACGATGTTTCGGGGGGCAAACCCACCCCCTCTCACGTCCCACACATACACACCACTGTCTGAGAGCAAATTATCCAAGTGGCTCCATGCATGCAGTATTACATTCCGCTTTGAACGTTGCAACGGTAGGAGAAGGAGAGGGGGATGGTCAACAATAGACGACTGGAGGGAGAAGCAGACAGCTGTAATGTCCTCATAATAGCTGGGGATCTCATGAACCCTCCTGCCTTTCATATTCATGAACACACAATCATATTTAAGTGACTGATTTTCAACTAAAATACATCATTTTAAATGATATGTTGAATCAATCCAACTTAAAAACAAAACAATTCACAGTTTTACTATGAAAATAAATTACTGACGTGAAGATATTAAAAGGGAGGTCAATATCAATAAACTGTTTAATTATTAGTTACCACTAAAAGATCGATATTTAAATCAAATACAACATATTGTGCATCCCTCATGTCTAAATTCTGATCTCTGCAAGGAACTGTCAGTTGTGCGTGGCATGTCAAAACAAAAATCTTTCCATCTTTGAACTAGGAACAACTCCCAGTCTCTTGGTCTGCCTGATGAGCACTGTTCCCCGGGGCAAAGTGTATGGAAAAGAGAGAGAGAGAGAGAGAAGAAGGGATGGGGAGTGTTAGGGAAGGGGTAGTGGTGAATGGGTGTGGTTGTATAACAGCTATTCCAGCATACACTTTTAAAAACAAGAGGCTATTATAGCACTCCAACAGGAGCTCTCTGAACATCTGAGAAAGAATCACATCATGATAGAGTCCTGTCAAATACATAACACTAGTAATCAGTAAAAAAACCCCCAGAAACTTTTACTTAGATTCAAAACCTAGAACATCACGTCATATTTTTTTTCCACCCCAAAATAATCACACCCCTGGGACAGCCGTGTGGAAATACAGATGATGTTGTTATGGATGCATTAATATTACAATTTAGGCTAATTATAGCCATTATATGCCATGCCAAATGTTATAAACAGACTAATTTGTTAAACAACTTTAAAAAGCCCTAAAAATCGTTACATGTGCACACAGCTGCACACACACCCTAACACTCCAAAATGCCCTCTTTCATAGCAAAGTGCTCAAGAAATAAAGCTTAATAGTATTGTTATTAGCTGCTATTACTGGAAACAAGATTCTTCACACAACATAAAAGCCAAAAACAACCATATCTGTACATTTATGGAAACGTCACTGGCAAAGACATACCTGTGTGTGCATTCAGGTCAAAGTTCAGATTTTACGCTGCACATGTGACCTTTCCCATTCTGCTGTGTAGCTCTAATGCGTCTGGTCGGTCCTGAGGATTGACGGCCAGCATGTCCTGCAAAAGTTTCCGGAGCGCCTCGGACATGTGTGAGCGCCTGCGCTGGGGAATGCTCAACACCATCTTTGGGTTCTCCAGAAGCGCCTCTCCAACCGGGACAATGTCAGAACCCTGCCGCACATACGTTCCGAGCAGTTCCCTCTTCGATTCAGCGTCAATGAACGTGATTCTCTCGATCATGGCCCAGATGATAATGCCGAGAGCAAAAATGTCTGCTTTGGCTGTGTAATGCCCTTCCCACACCTCCGGTGCCATGTAAAAGTCCGAGCCGCATGCCGACGAGAGCCAGAACTTGTTGATGTTAACACCATTCTTGTTTTTGTCCGGTCCCTCCTCTGGGTCCCGTACTCCGGCACCGAGACCAGCACAAACTTTGCTCAGTCCAAAATCAGCCACTTTCAACACGGGTGTGCCAGAACGCTGCGAAATGAGGATATTGTCTGGTTTAAGGTCTCTGTGAACAATGTTGTTTTGATGCAGGAATGCCACAGCGCAGCTCAGCTGCATCATGAAGCTGGCATTGGTGCAGGGGTCGGGCTGTCGGGACAGGATGAACTGATTCAGATCCCCTCCCTCGCAGAACTCCATTACAAACCAGAGGTAGCAGGGCTCATCAGGACATGACAATACACGCTCACCTGAAAGTACACACACACAAAAAAAAAAACATATAATTGAATATAATTAAATTTTCATAAAACAATGGGAATTCAACAACAATGATCATTTTCAATTTAAATTACTTAAACGGATACTCCACTTTTTTTGGAAATAGGCTCATTTTACCACTCCCCCAGAGTTAAACAGTTGAGTTTTACCGTTTTCGAAGCCGATTTTCTGATTTTTAGAAGAATATCAGTAACCAGACAGTTTCTGGTCTACTACCATAGTCTATATTTTTTCCTACAATGGAAGTCAATGAGACCAGAAACTGTCTGGTTACTGATATTCTTCTAAATATCGGAAAATCATCTGAATACATTCGAAAACGGTAAAACTCAAGAGTTTAACTCTGGGGGGGTTGTAAAATGAGGCTATTTCCAAAAAAAGTGGAGTATCCCTTTAAATTTCAAAATTTAAACTAGATATAGTTGGTTGAGGACTTTGTGACTTTTAGTGCATGATTTTAGTTGTGTGTTTTTTTTGTCACTGATGTTAAGGCACTCCTAAATGTTGCATTAAACACAAAAAATATTGATGAAATACTCTATTAAATGAGAATGTTCCTTTAAGCACATGCCTCTGCAGGCATTAAATTGTGGCTGTAATTTGTAACATAAACTGGAGACTGTATAAGGCAGAGAAGGTCCACTCATTAACTAATGGGAGATATTGTAATGCTCAATATGGCAGCTGTAGTTTCGGCTTACAGTTCAAAGAGCCAATCTTCTTTTTCTTTGTATTCTCTAGAATGCACATTGGCACAATTTAGGACACAATGGGCTTTATGCCCAGCTGCACTACTTCCTGAACTTAAGCCAGCTCCTTGTTTCCTGTCTGCCATTATTGGGCAAATTGATTAATTCAGGTGTGTCTGATTATTGTTGCCATGACTACTGAGGTCAGGTACACCTGAATTAATCAATTTGGCCAATAATGGCAGACAGGAAACAAGGAGCTGGCTGAAGTTCAGGAAGTAGTGCAGCTGGGCATAAAGCCCATTGTTGTCAAATTGCTGATTTGAAATGTGTAATTAAAATGCTACTTCAAAATATGACAAATTATTACATAGATAGGTTTTAATCTTTTCCCATTCAATTAGTGTGAGCTGTAAATGCATGCCTGGAAATAACTGCCCAGGGTGTTATGAATATGGCCGTCAATTGAACCGATTTGTCTTAAAGGAAAGCTCCACCGTTTTTTTCAAATTGGGGTTATTCACTGTCTCCCCTACATTTAGATAGTTGGGCAAATGCATTTTTGTCTCAGTGCATGGATTGTCTCAGTCTGGCAGCACCACCGCTAACTTAGCTTAGCATAATGAATGGAATCTAAATGTGAATTAGAAATCAGCTCAAATTTGGACGAAAATCAGTGCATGCCTGACTTAAACAGTGGTTCCTAAGTTAACCCTGGTCCTGGAGAACCCCCAACTCTGCACAATTTAAAAGTCTCCCTAATCAAACACATATTTCAGCTCATCAGCTGGTTAGTAGTGACTTCATATAGGCCTATGTTAAGTAGTGTACAACTTTAGGCGGAATGTCTCAATATTATGTTGTATTACGTACTCAAGATTTCATTTAGTGTTTTATTGTCTCACAAATTCCATTTACTGTGCAGCACCAGAAATTACAGTGACTCAAAAATACATCAATTTGAGTAAAACAAAAAATACTGACTGCATCTGTAACAAAACAACTTATTTAAGCAAGAGGTGAAACCCCTTGCTTGACTGGTTAAAGAGTTGTGAGTGGGACTTTGTTATTTTCACATAACCAGGAGCTTTTAATAACCAGGTTTATTAATAACTTATAACCAGGTGCTTTTAGGCATTGATTTAGACTTGTTTTAGATAAAGTTTTCAGTCTTAAATATAGCAAAGTGATTATATAAATGGAGGTCAAGTGTTGAACAGTTTTTGTTAAAATTATTGTATGTGTCGGCAAGTGTCGGCAAATGGCTACGTGAAAATAAAGTCCCACTCCCAACTCTTCAACCAGTCAAGTTGTTTTGTTACAGATGCAGTCAGTATTTTTTTGTTTGTTGATACCCATCAGAGACTACCCTTTTTAAGCACTTAAAATCATTTATTCATTCACAGCCCATAGCAAAGCCAAACATCTCTTCCTACTTTTACTTCCTTGTACTCTAAATATAGACTAGACCAACAGCTTCCAAGCAAATGCCTCTGTAAACACCACCAATATACAGTACAAAAACCTACATCATGATTCAGATCTTACACGTGAAAGCAGCCACACAAAGAAGACAGCCTAACAAATGAGATCGAATTGGCCTCGATTATCTGACTATAAACCACCACTGTCTCTTTTTCATTTATAAGATAATTTACACAGTTGTCATGTAACGTTAATGAATCAAACTACCTTCATTGTTCTAACCCGGGATAGTAGAAGGTTTGACCACAAACACCAGCACCTCCCCCACTTCCAAACTCAAGAGTTTCATAATAACCGAAAGGGAGGGTGGGGGAGGGCAAATCTGACCGACATTTACCACATTCTTAAATAAATGTAAACAATCTTAATGTAGAACAAAGACATTATCATAAACGTCCGTTGTCATCGGCCGAACGTCATATGACTGACATTCTCACTGCCAAACAATGGATTCAAACCGGTTTAGTTTCAAATTACAATGACTCAACATTTACATGATTCAGATTCTGAAAGGCCAAAATGTCAATTCTACCAAATGAGTGAACTGTCACAAACAAAAGCTACTGTTAGCTCGTGACAAACCATTATTCAACCCCAGACCTTCTAAAACAAACATCTTACCTTTCAACGAGGTCTCCACCAACCTCAAATACTGCTTTGAACGCTTATTGCCATGGCTCATTTTCTGGGCCATCCCGTTCCTCTGGAGCACACACTCCTCCAGCTGCACCACATTCTCGTGGCGTTTCTCCAGGCTAGTCAAAGCCCAAAACTCCGCCAGCGCCAACTCCACATTCTCAGGCGCGTCACAGCGCAGCTTCTTCACCGCCACTCTCGCACCTGATTTACGGGCAATGGCTTCGTACACAACGCCATAACTGCCCCTGCCAACTTCACGAAGCAAGCTGTACCGCGGAGCAAAAAGTCGCCGTTCAAGACCACACTGTTTACCCCGGTCCAACTCGTCTCCCATTGTCTCATTGTCGTCTATGTTGTCGACGCTGAGCGAGCGCAGGACACTGGCGCTTTCGGTTCTGTTGCAAGCGTTCCGTGTCCGTTGCCGCTCTCTGTTCTTTCCATCCATCACGCCTCCTCACGTTTTCTGCGCGCGTTTGGAAATATCTTCCGCGTTCATAGTTCTAGATCTTGAGTAAGTTCAGCAGCTCTTTAAAAATTCTGACATTTGCATTTTTATCACACAGTAACAGTGGGGTATCGTGATTCAATCACAGTCAAGCTTCTAGTCTGAACTGAATGAACCTTGAATGAAGTGAGAACTTGACTGGATCATCCCACTTTCCTGTACAGGGGGGATTCCTGGCCCATGAGAACACAAGTGCAATGCAATAAAATGTTAACGCCTATGTTGGTGATCCAAATATTGTATTATTTTTTTGTATTTATGTTAGTTTCGTGCATTTGAAAATGAATTAGCGTCGCTTATACTATTTACACAGGCTAGACAGCATAAAATGAAACGTTTTCAAGCATTTTAAAGGTATTATTTATTGCAATCTTTTTAATATATATTATTTTTTATTCAATAAGTTGGAAGTTATGTTACTCAATTTGACCTGAACACCAACAGGCATGTTTAACACCTGTTTAATACACCACACCTTTTATATATTAATTTATACGTAGACTGTTGTCACCCTTGTTGTGGACTCTATTTGGTTTAGTCCTTCCAGCATGTGCTCTACCACAGCTCAGCGCACACACGTGGTCAGACACGATGGGGAGCATTACAAGGGTTCATTCCCATTAGTCGAACATAGGCCTATATGAGAAATATTGTCACTTTTTATTTTTCATTCTGCTATCCGATTGATTCATACACATTCAAATATTTGTAGTAAAATCAATGTATAATCATTAAATTAAAAAAAGTCACAAATTTGTGAACACTGCAGTGTCTTCTGGACAGCACCTTTATAATTTTATATTAAACTTTATAAAGTTTATAATTTTGTTGAACTTAAATTTATATTTAATAAAAATATGTGTAGGTTATTACAAGTCAATAAGCTTTGCAGATAAAGTATATCAACTTTCGGAGGATTTGGATTACATAAGATGACAACATTATGAGGTGGCAGATGCTGTTGCTCATTCTCCTTTCAGAATAAACAAACATCGTCTTTGTTACTATTTTTTTTATGTTGTTAACTATTTATGTGCTTCTGCATAATAGCAGTGATTTTATCTACATCAAATGTCATCACTCATCCACATTCACATACAGGCGTGAGGGCATGTCTGACAACACTGCCAACATCAATGGCCCACTGCTTACATGGGTCAATGTTTGTCAGTGAGGACATCTGATGCACTTTATATAGCTTAGATAAACAACACTGTTTCTTTTGGAAATTCGCAACTTGCTCCTAAAGTTTTTTTATTAAACATTTTAAAAGGTGTGAGTGTTCTTTAAACACACACACACACGATGCTTTTTATGTTTTATGAGCACATTCTATAGAAATAATTTACTTTGTAAAAACTGCAGCTATATTCTATTCCCTAAACCTATAACAGAACACTTTCTGCATTTTTAGATTTTCCATCACCACTTGTCTCTGTGGGATACATTTTGTCCCAATAACCACACACACACAATAAGGTGAGAGACAGTTCTGTAACATCAACCGGTCCACTATATTTTAGTTGAAAATAGCATTCACAACAATCCATTTTACTTTCATAATAGGAAGATTTAATTGTATCCATTTGTAAAAAAAAAAAAAAAAGAAAAAAGAAAAAAGAAAAGAAAAAAGAAAACACGAAAGAAATGCATTGTGGAAAATCTCCCAAAGTTATGGGGGTAAGTCACTGGGAAACACTTAGTCTCTTGCTCCACCTACTGGTTATAAATGATATCATTCAATATTCAGTTGCATCTAACATCAATGCGTTTTACTCCAGATTTAGCCTACTAAACAGGGTAAATTAGCGTGATTCCGCAAACCTATAAAAGTGCTGGGTGTGGACAGTTCTGCGGGTAATGAGTAGTTTTTATACAGTATCCAAACATGTAAAATTGGAAAAACCTGACAATAAAGTTAAAAAATGTTAAACGACCGGCAGTAATTTAGTGATTTAAACTACTCAACTTTTTGTCAAAATTTGCCATTTTGAATTTAAAAATATGCGTTCGAAATTTTGTTTCTTTAGGGAAGTCCTCCAATGCCTCTGGGGCCACTTGTTTAATCTTTTTTGCCCTCAGGCAGATCAGATCCTCAAGAACAAGGACCACAAGAGTAAAGGACAGCTTCTTTCCAGTGGCAATCCGGACACAAAACTCAAAAATGCACTAAAGGCAAAGGTCTGGGACTCTGGGTTAAAATATTATTCACGTCACGTTATTTATACATTAATTATTTTTATTCCAATCTCCCTTCTGTCTATACTGCTGTCTTATAATGTGCAGTATGTCAACGATAAGCAATAATGATAAGCAATATCACCACTTGAACACTTTAATTATTAGGACTTAAAACAAATGCACTAATAAAGAGGTTAGTGTGAATACTAAGTCTGTTGCTGTTTTGTATAGTCTAGACTAGAATTTATTTCTTGTGTTGGCTTTATGGCTGTCAGGAAAAAAGGTTATATGTATGTCTTTCAAACATCATTCAAGGAGCGCTCCTAATTTCATTGTATGCAAATACAATGACAAGAAATGCTTTCAACTAAATTCAATAGACAAGTAGTTCCGGCTACAATGTTATTCCGCAAGACACATGCAGTTCTGTTTAATGTCCACTAGAGCACCTAAAGTTACAGACTGCACTGCAGCTTTAAAATAAAAAGAGAGTGAGGTAAGATGTAAATAAGGAAACATTTAATACAGCTTTTACTATATCAAACCACCAACAGAAATCCAGTGATGCAAACTACTCAACTTTTTTCTCAAATACGGCCATTTTCAATAAAAAAGTTCGTGATTCATGTAAGTCCTAAATGAGCGGGACGAGACAAAAAACATTTTACTTTTTGACATATTAGGTAGACAAATAAAACTACATGTACAAGATTATCAACTAAATGCAGTAGGAGGAGCAACTAAATGCAGTAGCATTTCAGCATACAAAAAGACCCTTTGTGCTTGGAAAATATTTTTCTTCACTAATAAAGGATGCATGGTATATGTAATTATGCAAAATAATGCAAGTAAAACAGCTCTAAATTGGGGCAACCTCAATGCTTTGCATCTATAGGAAACAAAAAACACGTTTATGTCACATTATGTGACATGAAAAGACATTGAAAATTGAATTGAATTTGGCTCATGCAAGTGTTGCCTTGAAGGAAGACACCACGAGAACAAGTGGCGTAGGGAATGAATACAATAGGCTGGTGTGTGCAGCTCTGAAGTGGGCAATAGTGTGCAACACTCCTTGGTTTTGTGTGGCTGCCATGGCAACTTAACAATTACAAAGGCCAGTTACATTTATGCATGTTTTAATGTTTGGTTGTTGTTGTTTTTTTTTTAATACTAACCCCCTGCAATAAAATAAAGTACAAATAAAATAAAATTGTCCAATGAAATAATAATGGTATAACAATATTAATAAATATTCCCTCCTAAATAATTAATTTGAATACATTAGACTTATTATTGAACCAATAGGGCTTACCTTCATTGTTGGCCAGTGTAAATCAGTAAAATCATTAAGTAGTGTGTAGCTTCAACGCATTCTCACCCCAAGGCGTCACCTTTGACCATGCTTCAATATTTGACGTTTTAGGCGCCCTTTAGCGTCACTAACATGACGCGATCCTACGGCGTCATCTAACTGACGCTAAAGGAAAGCGTCAGTTAGAGGACGCGGTTAGGTTTAGGTGTGGGGTGGGGGTAGGGTACACGGGATCCTAGGGCGTCATCTAACTGACGCTAAAGGGCGCCTAAAGCGTCAGATATTGAAGCATGTCCAAATGCTTCCCAAGGCGTCAGTTAGGTGACGCCTTGGGAGTGAGAATGGGCTGGTAGCTTCCATAAGAAAGAAGAACCATTTTTATTTGTATGAAGAATATTTTAATAATCTAAAGAACTTTTTTCTACTAAAAAGAACATTTTATGGAATGGAAAGATTGCATGGATGTTTAAGTTTCTTCAAGGAACCATAGATGCCAATAAAGAACCTTTATGGCTATAGCGTGCTCTGATGATGAAAGATTTACTCACTTACCGAACTGTCGGTCAGAAAAAGGGTCAAGAATTTTTGCATTCTTGAATTTGAATTTGTTTGAGATTTCTGTGATAATGGAAAGATGTGATGTTGTGCGTATGTTTAGGGATCTGACATTGCTTTTGCCTCTGTCCACCACTTCAATTTGAGAGGTTGTTGAAAAACACAATTACTGCGGGAGTAATCAGGACACAAGGAGAAGAGCAAGGCTTGATGCTGATGGAGGATTAGGCTTACACACACACACCTCCACACACACATTTCACTTCACTGCAATTACTCTCTCCTTGAATTTAAAATGCAGAGTGATTGGCATGATTACAATAATCTCTTCATTGTTTTTTCCTATATCATTACCAGAGGGGGTCGGGGCATACTTGTTGGCCTCAAAAGGAGTCAAAAACCACTTTGCAACATGATTTATACAGATATCTTTATATGTCTTGCGGGATCTGATTATATTGTGTAGTTTGAATGTACATAGAAGAAGTAGACAAAGTGTTTTATTTATTTATTTATTTTGCTATAATGTCATATTTCAATGCTATATTTATTAGACAAGCACACATGGTATGAGATTTGTTTCATCTGATAAGTTACAATTCATCGTGCGAAGGTCTCCTAAATCTCATTTTAATTGAAATTTTAATAATGTTTTGAAATTTAATATATTTTCAAAGCCTTCTAATCAGCCTGGATAAAATGAATTCCTGTAATGGGTTCATGTTTTCTGCTGTGAGAAGGTTGAGGCAAGTGAGTGTATAAGCATTATGGTTGCCATAGCAACCTCTCATCACCCTAAGAACACTATTGTCATAATTAGCATGTCTGTCAAAAGAGGGAAATCTGTCACATGGTCTGATGCTTACATAAATTCTGAAACACACAGATGTCCCATGCACTGAAACAAAAACTGATCTCCTAATTCAAAGAAAGATTCAGAGATAAATAACCATGCATAATTAAAGGAGTAGTTCACTTTTAAAAAAATTGTTGCTGATAATTTACTCACCCCCATGTCATTCTTTCTTCAGTCGAAAAGAAATTAAGGTTTTTGATGAAAACATTCCAGCATTTTTCTCCATAAAATGGACTTCAATGGGAACCAAACGGTCCAAGGTCCAAAAGACAGTTTCAGTGCAAACTGCAAACTGTTCAAAGGGCTTTAAATGATTCCAGAGGATGAATAAGGGTCTTATCAAGCAAAACGATCGCTCATTTAAAAAAAAAATAACAATAATTTATAAGCTCAATTGCTTGCCTTGCTCTGTTCTGTGATGTGCGTTCGTGACTCTCCTGTTCGAACCTGTTCCCTTGATAAGACCCTTATTCATCGTCTGGAATCGTTTAAAGCCCTTTGAACAGTTTTCACTGAAACTGTCTTTTGGACTTGAATCATTTGGTTCCCATTGAAGTCCATTATATGGAAAAAAAAAATTCTGGAATGTTTTCATCAAAAACCTGAATTTCTTTTTGACTGAAGAAAGAAGGACATGGACATCTTGGATGACATGGGGGTGAGTAAATTATCAGCAAAAGTTTTTTTTAAAAGTGAACTACTCCTTTAAGTTTAACTATTGTTTTTTGTTGTTGTTAACTTTAATTATTAGTACTATATTGGGCACACTTTAAGTCTCATGAGGATATTAATAACTGCTTAACTGATACATGCTGATATTAGAATTTGGTGATACATATGCCTAATGTAAGGAAATTTTATGCAAATGTGAGCCAATATTACATTTTCAAGAAAAAGATTCACTGTAATAAAAAGTATACAATTAAATCATAAATAGATTACTTATTTGAAATAAATGCAAACTGTGAGCAACTCAATCATTTCCACCAGCAAACAACATGCAATATTCTAATCTTTTTGCCAATTAATAAAGAATAATACATTTTCGGAATAATGATGTTAATTGGAAAAGAATGTGCGAGTCGATAAAAATAGAGAGCTGTGTTCTTAGTTAGAAACTGGAGGATCATTTAACAGGTTGTTGTTGAGCTGATTCTGTAAGAGATGTAGAGCAGAACGGGATAACAGCTTTTAATGCTCCGGGTCAAAGCTCTTATAAAGCAACAGCAAAACTGCGCTGTAAAAATCCAAAAAGTCCCGCTCATTTGCAGGGGCCGCTTTAGCCTACATTTGATTTGGCACAGGTGTTTTTTTACACTGGATGCCTTGGGACAGATAAACATTACATAGGCCTATTGGTTGTTTTATGGGACTTAACGTACAACTCCTACAAGCAAGAACAATTTATACATGTACGAAAGACTGACTTTCTAATTAAACATGTAGTATTCCGAAATGTACTACGGTAATCACTGCAGAGCTGTTTAATTGTTCTATTTTTTTTTATCAGTTCTGCTTGCAAGAGAGTGAGATTAAAAAAAAAAGAGAGAGAGCAAATCAACTGAATACTTATATCGGGTTAGTCAGTGACCTCCTGCTTTCAATGGTGAATGAGAGAGAGAGAGAGAGAGAGAGAGAGAGAGAGAGAGAGAGAGAGAGAGAGAGAGAGAGAGAGAGAGAGAGAGAGAGAGAGAGAGAGAGAGAGAGAGAGAGAGAGTATAGGCGTCTGTGTTTAGAGATAGTGATTACCTTTACCTTGCTGCTTGAGCTAAGAGGATTTTAATTGATCTGAATGTTTCTGAACGTGATTCCAAACAAACACTGTGAGACACTCTGTGTTAGTTTTATTATCATAACTGAATACTCAATTATTACCTTCATTTTCATTCAGTAAGTAGCCTATATATTTTTAAGTTAATGACCAATGATCTGTTCATTTAATCCACAGTATCAATAGACATAAGGTGTATTTTTCATCAGTTTAACACAAGAGTTAATCAGTATGTCCCAACACGAATAGGTGCCTTAATCTGAGTGAAAATTGAGGCCACATTAGCATAGCATATTAGCAATAACAATGCTATGTGGCTGCATTGGGCATCACCAATGACTCCAGTATGGGTCTATATGAAAAACCTAGACAACTAGCCAGCTAATTATGGAACCTGTGTGAAAAGCAAATCTGGATTAGCCCATACTCAGCATACGCAGCAACATCATCAGTTTACTATAGTCACTAAAGAAAAATATTTCTTGCTCTGTCACTCAGTGTCTTTGTGACACTTCAGTTTCCTCTGAGATGAAAGAGGACTGCTGATAAGGGCAACACTGCAGTAAATAGATTGGTGGAATATAAGAGAAACATTTGGCTGAAAATGGACTTGTTTCTGATCAGATTCTGTTGATGTCATCCTTTTCCACACTCAGAAAAAAGGTTCAAATGCTGTCACTGGGGCGGTACCCTTACCTTTGTACCTAAAGAATGCATATTTGTACCGCAGATTAGCACATATTGGTACGAAAAGTGCACATGTTAGTTCCTAAATGGTACATATTGGAACCTTTTGAAAGGATACAACCACAGGGACAGCTTTTGTACCTTTTATTCTGAGAGTGTATCCATTGAGGGAAGTGTAAAAAATAAAGTATTCTACTGTTTACTTTGAACAATGAGTGTTTCATCTGCATTAAAATATAGCTAAACAACGAATGAATGAATAAATAAAAAGGGAAAATAAGAACATAATCATTCAGAGTTCATCTCAGGAAAATATCTTCCTTTTCCATCAGGTTTGAACAAAGGCTGATATCCATTCTATGCTTTATATTCAGATATTATGAATTACAAGGCTCTATAGTGCTACTTCGGATATACTAAAATATTCGTTTTTAGTGACATTTTTAATCAAGCTAGTACAAACCAGGCAAATCAAACTTGTAAACATGTGAGGCTCACAATCACATAGACCTATCTTAGCCATCAAAAAAGTAGGGTATTTTTTTTTTAGTAAAATAAACATAAGATAAACCTTTAGCTTCAATTCAGATATTGTATTCTGCCCTGAGATCTGTGACAGATGGCAGATGTTTAAGGGCGGCTTAGTCCTTATTAGGGGAATTTGAATTATTTTTTTTACTTGCAGGTGACGTGCTATTAAAAGTTATGTCTTTACAAATATTTTAATATATTATATTTTCATTTAACTCACTCACTCACTCACTCACTCATTCACTCACTCATGTGCTATAAGGTCAACTCAGTTTAAATGATGCTCACTATTTCAAGGGTTGAGGCCAAGAAAGAGTATTAGGTGGCTCAGATAGGCACTCAGGCCTAATCTGGGATTAACAGTACAGCTCCGCAGATTGCCTTAAGGATTTCTGAGGTCTCATTAACATGGCTGGGATGACCATGTTGATGGCAGAGCTGGTGATATTGGTATAGTGCCACACATGCCAGCCACTTTTCTTCAGTCGATCACTTTCAAGTGCTGGTTCATCAGGACAAAAACACTGCCTGGCAGCATAACATTTTTTTTTTGTCTGACAATGCAATTATACAAACATAAATTAAGATAAAAAGCAACACATTTTAATATTATCTTCTGAAAAAATAAATCATAAAAAGGGGAAAGAAGTCAAGAAAAAAAAACAGAATAATTACAAACATTAACGTTTGTTGTAAAAAAAGAGAGAAAAAAGAAAGAAAAAAGGCATTGCTAATGAATATTAATTAGAAGACGAGCCCTACTCTCCGCCCACGAGCACATCGAACGGTCATCGGAGAGCTGAAGACTCAAGACTCATGAGCGCATCCTTTACCTGTCTATTCAAAATGTGGACATTTAGGAGACACACATTAGAAAAAGTGGGGGAAAACTGATGTCCAAAAATGCAAACTCGAATTAGTTCTTTAAAAATGGGATTTTACGTAACATTAAGCAGGGTCACCAACTGCTTCAACCAAAGAGCAACTTGAACAGGATTTCTGGCTGAATCTGTTGCCCTAAATCTGTTGGACTGCTAAATATTGTGGCTTCACAGGTAAGGTTAATCGATTACATGTTTACTAGACTGGTGTAAATGTTAAAATTTGGCTTTAAAAGTGTTGTAAATGTCCCATACTTTGTTGTCTTTGTTGTTTGTGTTTCCGACAGCATTTTCATTGAAGAGTCGATAAATAACTCGACAAGTCACTAAAATATTGCATATCATGTAACAACAAGGCTAGCAACAAATGCAAATGAGTTGGATTCCGTTAAGTGCGTTTTTGCGCATGTGCAGCAGTGCGCGGCTTTCCAACTAAACCTTAGTGACAATAAACCAGTCCAGGTTTTCACTTGTCGATTGGGGAAAGAATCATAGGCAATAGTATTACATTATTGCATTGTCAATGTTACCTATACTGTAAAAACAGACACCTTTACCATAAGGTTAAATGATATCCTATGTTATCTACTGTAATATATGAAAACGTTTGTGTAGAAGGAAAATACTGAATTGTCTTATAATTTACATGTAATATAAATTTTATATATAAAATATAATATAAAATTTACTAACATACAAAGTTAGGAACTGTAAATATACAGTCACCCTGCTTGTAATGATCGTCAATGTCATTTTACAGTGAAATTCTAGCAACCTCAAATTTTGGTAGGCTACTGTAAATTTAACAATAAATACCTTAATACTACAGTATATTGTATTTACTCTGTTTAATGTATTGTGTGAGTTTAAGATTTAACATAATCACTGACTAAGCATTTAAAACAAAAGAATCTAAGAAAGCTGGTTTTCCCTTTTAAATGTATGATGGCAGTACAACGCATGGAAAGAAAGACCACCCTGGGCTTGTCAAAGTTTTGATGTATATTGTTTAGGGTGGGAGAGGGGACTTCAGATGCTCAGATGACAAGAACCCTGGTGGATGGAAATCAGGACTGCTGACTAGAAGTTGCTGCGTGTCCTATGCATTAGCATAATTCTGGATTTGGAATAGATTACACGAATAGCATTGGTGGTGTTAGTCTAATTAGACTAATCTTCCCAGAACGATACAATAAACTAAACGTCATTAGAAGGAGAAAGCCCAGTATCGTTCTTCTGGTCAAAGACCCTGAAACCACAAAGCAATATTTTGGTGAAAAAACCAATTTAGGAAATTTACTGTAATTTTTGTTAGATATGAAAAAGATGCTGTTTTTAATATATGCATCACTCAGTTTAGCCAAAAATCAATTTCCAACCAATTTTTGCTATATGTAGTCACACTTTCTAAAACGTCTATATACATGTTGGCTTATTATCAAGTGGCTTTAAAGTACATCTGGGTCATGATCTACCATAGAGATGGGCCGCTGATCTTGTTTAGTGTTTAAGCAGTAAGTATTTTTAGGTGATGTGTGTTTAGATGTCATTGCTGTCAGAGTAAAAATGGGTTTGCAGAGATCAAGTCAATAATAGGTTCTTGTAATCTCTTCAGAGTTTAATTCCACTCAATTTTGGGCTGACCCAATACGACGTTACTATCTGCAATGATTTCATTAATGACAGCCCATTCAAAGCCTTACTGCATTATACTTTTGAGCATAATTTGTTTTCTAAGATCAAAAACATGCTTTAAATGTTTAATAATTCATGCTTTTTTTGTTATGGTGTTTTCCTTTGTTTGTCCTTATTATCAAGCACTGGATGCCTAGAAAAGGCAAAGAAAAAAATGGCGAAGATTTGCACAGAGCAATCGTTCCCATCGGGACACAAGCCCTCGGTCCGAGCCTGTAAAGATGACCTGGATCAGACTGAAAATGGCATAAACAGGTTAGAATAACAAGACATGACCTTAAAGGGTTAGTTCAGCCAAAAAAATTAATTCTGTCATTAATTACTCACTCCAAAACCGTAAGACTTTCATTCATCTTTGGAACAAAAATGTAGCCTAGACATCTACACGAATCTACGTAGACGAAAAACCAAACTCTGGTCAGGCCAATCACATCGTGTATAGAGTCGGCGGGCGGGGTTAACATAATGACGACAGAGTTGCGACGGTTCACTACTTGAAAACAAAGAATGGCTGCTGCTGGCGAACAGCTGTCTTTCAATTCGGCTTTGACCGCGACTCTGGATGATTTGAACTTAAGCTTTTCTTTGAAACCAGAACAAAGAACGGCACTTGAGTCATTAAAAAAAAAAAAAAAGATGTGTTCGGAGTTTTGCCGGTAAAAGTAATATATTAACTTGCTCCGCTGGTGGGAAAACGCATGGGACTCAGCCGTCACCTTCTTCGTTGCTCTGGTTAGTTGTAGCGCTATACAATTACGTGCAGAGAGAATTTGAAAGACAACCGTTTATCCCACCCCTCGGATTGAGGCCTGTCAATGATGAGTTCCCAGACCTAACATCTTGCTTGATGTTAGGTCTTTCTGTCCCTCCTTTGACAGCCTACGCAACTACAACTTTCAGGCCCCACAAAGGTTGTAAATACATCTTTAAAGTATTCCATGTGACTCCAGTGGTTTAACCTCAATTATTTTAATCGACTTTGTGTGCAACCCGCCCCAACACAATTTACCACTTTATTTACAAAATATTAATCTCCAACACGCATTGTCCTATTAACGTCTGCTCTCGTCAACATAACATGGTGCTCTCGTGAACGTGCGTTTGTGATGAATATTTTGTAAATATAGTAGCAAAAAAAGCTCTCGCATCGCTTAAAATGGAGTCACATTAAATGCTTTAAATATGTCTTTACTACCGTTCTGGGGCCTGGAAGAGGTAGTTGTGTAGGCTTTCAATGGAGGAACAGAAAGCACTCAGATTTCCTCAAAAAGATTTACATTTTGGCTGCAAAGATGAATGAAGGGATGTTTGGGTTTGGAATGAGATGAGGGTAATTAATCACAGAATTTTCATTTTGGGGTGAACTATCCCTTTAAAAAGGTCATATAGTACATTTAAATCCTTTTTGTGCATCATTTACAACGTAAATGTTTTTGCGCCAAAAAGAGTTTTAAATGGACAGTGAAATGGATTGAGTGAATTTTCCGACTTTCATTTTGGACCGTTTTAGTAAACTCATTTTTTTTTAAAGTATTGACCTCTTCGCATATGAAACACGAAGCTCTTAACCGAAGGATGCAGGTTTGTTTTAGGCCAAATGTAATGAGAATGCGCATGACGTCACATTTTGTGTATTTTCAACTGTGGTGGACAGTCAAGGTGTCATTCTTTCTATTACATTATGATTGGCTCATAAATGTACAAATGAAGACTCTATCTTAAATATTTTTTTTTAAAGTAAAAACCTACACTTTGCCCCTTTAATAACAGCTTTTTTTTGAAAATCTTTGATCTTGACGAAAAAGTCGCTCTATCAGAACATTTGGATTCTTCAGGATACAATATCATTCAAAAGTTTGGGGTCAGTAAGATTTTATTTTTGAAAAAAGTGAATGCTTTTATTCAGCAAGGATGCATTAAATTGATCAGAAGAGACAGTAAAGATATTTACAGTGTTACAGATGATTTGTATTTCAAAGAAATGCTGTCATTTTGAACTTTAATTAATTAATTTGAAATTTAATTCGTTTCTTAAACAGCAAAGCAGGATATTAGAATGATGTTTGAAGTATCCTGTGACACTGAAGACTGGAGTAATGATGCTGAAAATTCAGATTTGCATCACAGGAACAAATTATATTTTAAAATATATTAAAATATAAAACAGCTATTTTAAACTGAAGTAATATTTCACAAAAGTAGCCTACTGTTTTTGCTGTAAAAAAACAGCCTTGTTCAGCTTAGAAGACTTCTTTCAAAAACATCAAAACTCTTACAGACCCCAAACCTTTGTGCTACACTTTTTTCAATCAGATTATTAATCAGCTATTTTTGCTGCTTAGTTAAAATTTGGAACATTATTTGAGTTCTGAAACATAAATCCCCCCACAACTTTTCTCAGGGCAAATTCTCTATGTGAGGACACCTCCTCTGATATGCAGGGGATCATTTCTACTGGAACCAGCCAGCTACAGGAGTCCAGGAGAAGCTCTTTCACGGGTGCTGGGGCAATGGCAAGGTAACATCCCCAACTAAATACTTGAACCCAGCTCACCATGTGAACCCTGATTACCACTAAACCAAGTCAAATGCACACTGAGCAGTAGATCTGTAATAGTGAAATCTGATTTTAAAATGGAAAGACGTGAACCTCTCATCAACCAAGCCAACAAAATTTGAATGTGTTAAGTGTGCATTTGAAATGGGTGGAACAACAGAAAGCTACATACTGTATATAAAGAGCTTGGAAGTGTTTCTGTTTGACATCTTACGGTCTCCCAGGCTAACCCAATTTCTGGTAATGCTGAGGAACTGGGCTTCACACAGGCTTCACAGAGAGGTTGAGCGTCCCGACTCCTTCTTGGAGCGATTCCGTGGACCTGACCTCAAAGACTTATCTAGCCGAGGAAGTAATGCCCGATCCTCTATAGGCCTACCTGACAAGCCTCATAAGAGGAAGTAAGTCAAGATTTTCTGTACAGTTTCTTTGTACAGACAAAGATGCCTTTGATATAACATGGAGTCCTTGAAAATGAAAGATACGTGCAGAGAAGCATGCTGGATCTGTGTGGAAAAATACCAGTATTGTGTGCCGATGTTTCATAAAACGGATCACAGAGCTGAGGATTCATTACTTGTTGGACCAGAGGTTATAAAAGGAAAACAGTATGTAGATTTCTATGTAGAAATGACCTTTAGGTAAAACCGAATTGCAATAAATTGTAGAATAGAAACAGACCGTAGATATAGATACTAAATCAGCGGTAGTGATGGTCTGAATCAGATCCCTCAGAATTGAATCCACAATTATAACACCAAAATTAATGACTTTTGCTCCTTAAGAAAATCCAGTCATTGGCCTCTGGCAGTTTACAATATGAACAACTGCAACAACACAGATGAGTAAGTACCTGTAGGAACAGCTCCACAAGATATAAACCCCTATTTAATACACTAAAATATTTTGTATTGTAGATACTAGATTGTAGAAACCTTAATAATGAAATAATGCTAATAGTGTTGTATCTCAAATATGCAATTAATAACAACAGATGATAGTCTGTCATGTTTTGTATGAAGTTAGCACATTGCCTTCCCAGTGCTGCCCTCTGCAGGTTAGGATGAGAGATTACTAGTGGTAGTTCACAGTAGTGACCCGTAGATTAAAGACTAGTTGATAATTCAAATAAAAACAACCCAAAATGTTACCTTCAGCAAAAAGGAGGACAAAAAGGAAGAACTAAAAAAAGATGAGAAAAAGGATGAAGACAAAAAGGAAGAGAAAAAAGATGAGAAGGAAGAGAAAAAAGATGAGAAAAAAGATGAAAAAAAGGATGAGAAAAAGGACGAAAAGAAGGATGATAAGAAAGATGATAAAAAGAAAGATGCTCCTCCTCCACTGTGAGTATCCCACAAATGACATTTTAGTTTTAGTGACTGATATTGACAGTCACGTCTAACAGTAGTATCTTAAGATGAATGCTGTGATTTATACGTGTTTGTCTTTGAAAGTGGCCGGACGATAATCTAATATGTGTTTTAGGAAAGAAGTGTGGATCATGGACCCAGCCTCAGACAAGTATTACAGATGGCTTACAGTCATTGCAGGCCCAGTGTTTTACAACCTGATGATGCTGGTGACAAGGTCTGTTCACGCAGGGTCTCTCATCATGTCATCAATACATTTAGATGTGCGGAGAGATGTGGCATTTGCTTGATTTTTCATCTTTCTTCAGGGCCTGTTTTAACGAGCTTCAGAACTCTTTCACAATGCTTTGGATCGTCCTGGACTATACGTCAGATGTAATCTACTACATGGACACATTTGTCAGAGCAAGAACAGGTATGGTGGTTACTCATTGAAAGAATAATATTGATGGAACATCTATTAAATAATTAAATATTAAAACAAACTACCATTCAATAGTTTGGGGTCAGTTAGTTTATTTATGATAGTGACATTGGTACAGAAAAATCTGATAAATGCTGTTCTTTTAAAAGAATCCTAAAAAAAAAAAATCCAGAAAAAAATATTAAAGGGGTCATGAACTGCATTTTTTAAATATTCTTTATGAGGTGCACTTATTATGTTAGTATGATTTTGAAATGGAAAAATTATTATAATTTAGAAATAAAATTATTTGAACACTCTGTTGGAAGGGGCGTGTCAATGTAAACACTCACTGCTATGATTGGCTAAAATATTTGCATATGAAATAAGTGTTACACATGGAGCTCTCTCAAAATCTTATACCATGTTTTTACTATCACTTCTGTTGAAATTAACTAATTGTAAAAAGTGTTGATTATAGCATTCTATTTAGATCTACTCTAGCTGATGACAGACATGTCTGTTGAGTGCATGGATGCAGTGATCTCATTGATTTCTGGACCTTCATGAATGTTTTCATCATAACTAACAGTGTAAACACGATGTAATTAAGAGATTCAATGAGCCGTGTAGACGGCATTATTGATTATAATGGGGAGTTTTGGCAAGAGGCATGGATAAGCGATTGTAAAGGCTCGTTGATAAGATCATTTTCATACTAATAGAAACAGTGAAGTTGACCATTTAGTCACTGGCTTTATGCAGCAGTGAAATGATCTTGAAGAATGTCTGACTGTACATGAATCATTACATATCAGAAATCACTGATTTTAGAATTAAACACGGTTACTAATGTACTGTAGCATTACCGTCAAGGTCCATATCTTACAGTAAAAGTCCAAAGCACCAAAATTGCAGCTGATTTATCAAAGAATAAACAAATAATTTGTACAATATTACTGTTCAACTGTATTTGTAAACAAATACTGTCAAAAACATTATGAAATCTTACCAATCTTAAAAACCTTACTAACTTTTGAATTAATGTGTATATTTGATTTTAACAAGCATTACAACTAGATAATAGTACGCAAAGCTTGTTCAGACTGATCTCATGAAGTAGCGTGTGTATGACACGCCAATTCGTATTTCCATTTTTGGCGTGCTATCAAGACGCATAATCGCCTTTCAGCGTGTTTATGAACGCCGTTGACTTAACGTTATATAAATATATGACTTACCTCAACCCCATCCCTAAACTTAACCGTCACTGGGGTTAATGGCATTTATGAATGGAGATTTGACTGTGTATACAGACACGCGGAATGACGCGGACGTTAATGGCGTAGACATACACGCGGATAGCTCAAAATGCGTAGAGATAACACGCCACCTGACTCGAAACTGGCGTATATGTTTACGCAAAAGTCATGATGTCATGTTGGCTTGTTACATTTTTATTCTTTTTATTTTAACATTTTTATTGTCATTTTAGGGTTCCTGGAGCAGGGTCTTCTTGTCAAAGATGGCAAGAAGTTGATGGATCATTACAAGACAATCCCACAGTTCAAATACGACATGATCTCAATGATCCCGACAGATTTGTTTATGCTGAAAGTGGGATTCAACAACCCTGAACTTCGCTTCAACCGCCTCTTCAAAATGGCACGTCTCTTCGAGTTCTTTGACCGCACAGAAACACGAACGAACTTTCCGAACATTTTCCGTATCAGCAACCTCGTACTTTACATCTTGATTATTATTCACTGGAACGCTTGCATTTTCTTCGCCATTTCAAAAACGATAGGTTTTGGAACCGACACGTGGGTATATCCTAACATCAGTCACCCTGAATACGGGCGATTGGCCAGAAAATACATCTACTGTCTGTACTGGTCCACTCTCACTCTCACCACCATTGGAGAAACGCCACCTCCCGTTAAAGACATTGAATACTTGTTTGTCGTTATGGACTTCCTCATTGGAGTGTTGATTTTCGCTACCATCGTCGGTAACGTCGGCGCCATGATCTCCAACATGAACGCTTCTCGTGCTGAATTTCAGGCTAAGATCGACTCCATCAAGCAGTACATGCAGTTCCGTAAGGTCAGCAAAGACCTGGAGGCCAGGGTCATCAAATGGTTCGACTACCTTTGGACGGAGAAGAAAACTTGCGATGAGAAGGAAGTCTTAAAGAATCTCCCAGACAAGCTCAAGGCTGAGATAGCCATCAATGTCCATTTAGACACGCTGAAGAAGGTGCGAATCTTCCAGGATTGTGAAGCGGGACTTCTTATAGAGTTGGTGTTGAAGTTGCAACCTCAGGTGTTCAGTCCTGGAGATTACATATGCAAGAAAGGCGACATCGGCCGAGAAATGTACATCATCAAAGAAGGAAAGCTTGCCGTAGTGGCCGATGATGGGGTCACGCAGTTTGTGGTGCTCAGTGACGGCGCTTACTTCGGAGAAATTAGCATCCTCGGAATCAAAGGCAGTAAAGCCGGTAACCGAAGAACGGCAAACATTCGTAGCGTCGGATATTCTGACCTCTTCGCCCTGTCTAAAGATGATCTCGTGGAAGCGCTTACCGAGTACCCAGATGCCAAAAAAGCCCTGGAGGAGAAAGGAAAGGCTATTTTAAGAAAAGACAACCTTCTTGATGAGGCGGTGGCAAGCGCAGGTGCAGATCCCAAAGATCTGGGCGAGAAGATTGAACGCTTAGAGGGCAACCTTGAAATCATGACTGGCAAATTTGCCAAGCTCATGGCAGAGTACACGTCCTACCAGGGAAAGATCAAACAGAGGATAACCAACATGGAGAGCAAAGTGAAAACACTACGAGTCGAAGATCTCTCTGAGGTTGTCGAGGACAAAAAAGAAGAAGAGAAGAAGACTAAATAGTCAACAGCATAGACATTGGGGTTAAAGGGGTTTCCTTTCTATGTACATATTTCTTAACATAGTACATTACGGTTTAAACTGTTTATACTTATCTATTTATACATTTTACACATGACAACATTGTACTAATGGAACACTTGTTCAATATATGCAGTATGGAACCACGCCGATGGCATACAATGCAGGATTTTTGTTTGTATGCCCATAGGAGAGATACACTATCGTTCAAAAGTTTAGGGTTGGCAAGATTTATTTGTTGCGATTTTTTTTTAAAGAAGTCTCTTATGCTCACCCAGGCTGAATTTGTTTGACTTTCAAACATACAGTAGTATCGTTACAATTTAAAACATGCTGATTTGGTGCTCAAGAAACATTTCTTATGATCAATGTTGAAAAAAGGTGTGCCGTTTAATATTTTCCTGGAATCCTTTGATGAATAGAAAGGTCAAAAGAACCCAGATTTGAAATAGATTTTTTTTTTTGTAACATTATACATGTTTACTGTCAATTTCATGCTTAATAAAAGTATTCATTTATTAAAAAAACTACCCCAAACTTTTGAATGATAGCATATTTTTATGGTGCATCCCAAAAAAGTAAAAAGGGTACTTCACACTGTATCAGGGGTACACTTGCAGACAAGGCATTCATACTCTAATTGTTATTTTGGCAGAAGCATGAGAATATATAATTTATTACTTTGATGATGTTCTGATAAAGCTCATTAAACATTATTATTTCAATAATAAGAGTTACATTATTTCAATACTAAGAGTTGCTCAAAAAGAACTCATGGACCATGATAAAAACATCCCATAATGTTTTAGAGGTCTAACTAAAGTACATAAATGTGTTCTTCAATAAATGTTCTAACAAATGTTGTTTGTTTGATAAAAGCATTTCGTTTAAAAGTAATGTAAATCAGAAGATGAACTTCTCAACAGACGACGTATATAAAGTAGTGTGTTCGTTTAGTTCATGAACAGGATCAGAAACTGCACTTGGAGAGATAACCTGGTATAGAAAAGGACAAGGTGACATGACGCGTCACACACACACATATACATACGGTATATATATATATATATATATATATATATATATATATATAGACTAGGGCTTTGCAAAAATTAATTGCGATCGCATCCAAAATAAAAGTTTGTGTTTACATAATAAAGGTGTGTGTGCTGTGTATAGTTATTTTTTATATATAAATACATATGCATGCATGCATATATTTAAGAATTATTTGCACGTAAATACTGTATATAAATACATAATCTATCTATCAATATATATATGAAGAGTTCAGTTGCAAAAGCCTCTAAATGCCATTTGAAATTTTCTTCTTTAATGATGATTTTTATCAAACTTGTATATTTAAGTTCAGTAATTTCACTTAAATAACAATTAATAGGTAATTATCATTGCCATTTAAGTGAAATCACTGAACTTAAATATACAAGCTTGATAAAAATTATCATTCTAAAAGAAAATTTCAAATGGCTTTTGCATCTGAACTCTTCATATATATATATATATATATATATATATATATATATGAATAACACATTTCCTTAAATATATACATGCATGTGTGTGTATTTATGTATACAAAACTATACAAAGCACACACATGTATATAATGTAATGTGAATACAAACTTCTATTTTGGATGCGATTAATCGCAATTAATCTTTGCACAGCCCCAGTAAAGATATGTCTACATTTACCTTATTTAAATTATTTATCTAAATTAAATAGATTTGTATCAAAGTAGTAGAAGTATCAAAAAAAATCCTGAATTCTAAAATGACTAAAATCTTAGTATACTAAAAACTATGCCGTATTTTGACTTTGATATTGTGTTGAATATGTTAAAACAGACTTTTAATTGGTGTATTTTTCCACTATATACCAGGAACACATCAAATCAAAAGCTGAATCTCATCATTACATTTCCACACTTGGTTTGTTTTTTCAGTTTTGAATTTATTTAAGAATAACTTGAAACAATCAAATGTTGTCATTCTCAATATCAAGTTCTGTTGTTTCCCCCTTTTATGTTAGCGCCATCAGCAGTGGAACAAACCACAGTCACATTTAATATGCAAGAGGGAAAATGGAAAAAAACAAAAAAAAAAATGTAGAGGGCATTGCTAAAAGTGGGTTTCCAGCTATGCATGTACAAACCGGAGCGGCAATTCTCAGCATAAATGTTTGGCACGACAAGACAGTGGTACAATTTGTGCCAATTTCCCCTCATTTTCATCCAACAGTATAGGACCAGACACCGTGCAGAGCAAGAAAGAAAAAAAAAGCAACGAAAACAGAAACGGTTTCTTCACGGGGCACTGTCAATTAGCATTCACCGACTAAAAGTCTGTGAGTTTTGAATTAAAACAAGATGGATAACAAAAAACAAAACACTTGTAGAAAACCATTGAGTGAGTTTTATGGGAAGGTTGGATCTCTCTTTCGACACTTAACACTACGTGTTTTTGTCAGGAGTGCACCGTGAGCGTAGATTAATTTTAGCAAACAGATCAATTCTATGCGAAAGAAGCGAAATGCAGAACACTGGCCATAAAAGAGCAGCACAGCTTGTTCAAGCGGCATTACGAACAACGCACTTCCTCAATAAATACAGATTCCTTGAAACGAAATTGAGACTAGAGTTGCTCTGTACCTTTGAAAGCATTGCTGCAAATATGAATGGACTAGGGAAGACCTATGAAACAAAAAAAAAACTAAGAGACATTCTGAATATTAAGTGCACTTTCACAGTTCAACCATAATACATCAATAAAGTTCCACTTCCTCCCTTTGATCTTGCAGTTTTATTAAGTTTAGATGGTGATCAGTCTTGCAGGTGTTGAAAACTAACCGTCCCTCCTTTTTTTATGACTACGAAAGCAAAAAGTGAGTGGATTTCCTGGCAGACAAGACAGAAGAGATTTCATCCCTTAAAATAAATAACGCAATATCTCAGTGCATACAAAAAGGGAACCTTAACACTTACATAAGAGGGAGAGAGAGCCAGGAGTCCAGTGTGGTTTAATCAACTATTTAGGCACAGGCACACGGCCACCATAACTTCCCCATTTTAATCCATTTCACGTTGCCTTACATTTTAACTTGATATTTACTTTTAGTTGTCGCTGTAGATGAATTCTCCTTCGACGCACAAATGAAACCTCTGAGGGCGAGTGAGTCCTTTTGCAGATCCTGGAGCCTCAGAGCATGCCGAAGCCTTTGGCGTAAGTGATGGCTTTTAGGAGTCTCTCTCTAAGTTTCTCTATGGTGGAGTATTCGGGGAGAAGCAGCACGTTGAAGCAAGTATGAGAGGTGGGTAACCTGATCATAAGAGGAGGAGAAGTGTGTATTACTTTATTTAATACTTCTACTGCATGTTTATTACTGTGGAAAGAAATGTGTACATTAACGCCATTTTAAAAAAAAACCTGGCGAGGATGTAATGCATAATTTGTTTAGCATTACTAGTGTTATTCCAGCATTCGTGTTCGATCACGCATAACATGCAAGCAACTCTGGAGTGGTAAAGGTGTGAGGAAAAAAAACGCTGATGCATTATGGTTCTTTCTTCGGCGTTTCTGAATCGCTTCAGCTGTATGGTGGCACTTGTGTGCGCACGAGAGCCATATTCTGCCTAAAGTCCCCCCCTGAGGTGAAAATCCAGCTTTTGTTGTTGTTTTTATGTCTATGTGGTGTTTTAAAAATGTTTTAAGACAAACCATGTGCCAATTCAGAAGGCTGGCCCCTCCCCTACCAATAGAGCACATTCGCATCAGTTCGCCCCAGCGTTTGAGAGCGGAGAATACTGCTCATTTTTTCAACATTTTGATAGCTTATTTTATGTACTTGCCGACAGGGTTTTAGGCTGCGACCAAATTGGTCGGAAATGCCACCGTTTATTGAGAATGCGCGAGTTAAAATTGTATGTCGTCGCATTTGTGCGAGTGGATATAACAATGAAAAAGTCTCACGAAAGGAAGAAAAAGGAAAAGAAAAAATTATTATAAAATGAATGTATTTGAAAGATAATACTGATAGAAAGATAGAAAGATAGGATTATGATAAGATTATGATTCAAATGTAAATAGATAGATTGTATATAATTCAAATGTAAAATGCTTAAAATTAAAGATTAAAACTACGGTCCAAAAATCCATGAAAATCCTGAAATTAATATATTACTGGTGTTTATGCTGCAACCCAGAAAGCCTTTGCTAGCTTTGGTCCATTAAAACCACTATTCATCAGCATGCATTGATTAATACCATGGCATGTAGCAAAAAAGTGCAAAAAAGTGCGACCAAATCAAATGCTGGTGCGACCAACTGAGAAATTTGGTAGCACCAGTTCAACCACTGGAAAAGTTAGTCTGGAGCCCTGCTTGCCGGCTTGTTTATCATTCTAATTTGGCTGGGTGGATAATAACACATTTTCTGTGGTGTGATGAACTCAGAACACATACTTAATTTTAAAACTTTAAAGGGATAAAATTATTGACTACAGGGGGACTTTCAAGATTCAACTGATCTGATACATGATGATCATACAACTATTTGAATACGGTATGGTGTCAAAAACTGAACTCCTTATTGTCTGAAAGTGTAGAGAGGCAGTATTTGAGTTTACCTGTCTGAGTCAGGGCCATTTTTGGCAATAATCATCTTGAGTTTTCCTAAACCTCCAACTGGAGCTCTATCTGTGCCAGTGGTGAACTGAAGAAATAGCCTCTTCTGCTCTTGTCCAAATGAGTGCACCGTCTCCCAGAAATCCCTGAGGAGAGACAAAAATATCATTTTTCATCATTTTTATAACACATAGGAAGTAGTTTTTAAAATTAGCGATCCACTAATATCATTCTTGTAAATTCTGTTACCATTATCTAGGCCTAATGCCCATATTTAATTGACAGCACCTAGATGAAAGTTAAAATTGCAAACACAAAAATTAATCATTCACTTAATACTCATCTTGCACAATATTTACTCAAAATTAATTAAAAGTAGCTGAAAATAAAGTTTTTATTATCCATTTACAAGGTTGCCAGTAGGTTTATTAACTGTAGAAACTGCCAATCACCTCAAATGATCAAATACACTATATCTACATAACTATGAAGTTAGTTAACAATTTTTGTAAAAAAAAATAAATTAAATGCATAGATAATATACTAAAGTAGTTAATTATACATATTTATATCAATTAAGAGTTTATAAAATAAACTAATATTATTAAATTATTATTATTAATAATAATATTGTTTGTATGTACGTGTTTTATATAATTTTATTAAGCATCCACATACTTAATAATGCGACAGTCTTTGTTGTATCCTCCATCATATTCTGTACTCTCTTCAAGTGCTTGGAAGTCTAGATTCTGCAAGAGAAAGAATCAAATGGGTTCATATGTACGAATGTGGCACTTGTGAGAACATCCTGGAGGTAGTTAACAATCTTTAGCTAACTTACCCTGCTGCCACATATAAGCAGCTCAATTTCCTCTGATCGAAACAGATACTTCAGTGGAGACTCATTAGTGACCATGTGGAATCCTCTTCTGAAGGCCTTGAACTGTTTCTCCACACTTTTGTTCAGCATGTACTCTGCATAGAGTGCCACAAAATCCTGCAGAGACCCACTTCATGTTATGCGTATACTTGCAGATATGAACATGTCTGTTGTTTTAAAAGTTGAATGAAGGAATGTAATGCTTGTAAAAGTGAATTAACCTTTCTGTTCTCATTGGTAACTGGGATTTTATCACCGCTTTCCTTTAAATCATACATTAGTGGGTTTCCAAACAGGTCTGTTTGTGAGATCTGGAAGGTAATCATCATGTCTTCTTCCACATTACCTTCATATTCCAGCAGGTCCGTCAGACTCTGATAAAGAACCTGCAGAAACGCACAATCAGCACCATTTTGACAGAACATATATAATCATTCTCTCTGCACTGATACTGCAAGCTTTTTTTTTGCTAATCCAATCCATTAAATAATTGCTATGTGACAGAGCAGGAATCAGCTTGCCCCAAATATTTTGATGAGCAGTCACTGTGTACTAAAGTCATAATGACTGAAACGCTGATGTACCTGCTCAAATCACCTCTCAGCATGCCATTAAAAAGACTGAGGACAGGACATGCACACCCACTTGAAATAAAGCTGAAATATTACTCTTTGTAACCTCAATGTCAAATAACAACATTAAGGAAGCAAAAAATCCGAGGCCATGTTTACATTATTATTATTATTTGTTTGTATAGACATTTCATACGTTCTAGTTGGATTTTGCAGGATTTTAATCTACATTTAAGTCTGCCTGCGAAAAATCTTACTGACCCCAAACTTTCTGTTATGTGAATTAGTGTTTTCAAAAAGTAAATGCTTGACTAGGATTGCTGAAGAACAAAAGAAATATAAACCAGGAAAGTATTACCGGATGCGAGTCTGCAAGGTCTCGAAACGTTCCTTTCTTTCCCATTAATTTTCTGTAAACCACCATAGGGAAGTGCACATCGAGAATGCAATTATTGTAGATAGCTAGGCCCAGGACGATGCCTATCAAGGTGAATTGGCCTTCATTTTCAAACGATGAAGGGTTGAACCAGAAAAGCTTTGTGCTTTCATCATAGGTAAACATGCCTGTGGATAAAACAGAAAGAGCCTTAATGAATCAAGATGACAACGAGACAGATCTGAATCGACAGTGTGAGTGGAACGTTAGGGCCTGGTCTCTCAAACGGAGCTTAGATTAAACCAGGATTAGGCCTTAGTTCAATTAGGATATTTAAGAAACTTTTATAAACATGCCTTAGAGAAAACATTACTAATGTGCATCTTGAGACAAAACAATGGCATTGACATTTTAAGATATCTCAGTGCTTTCAGTTAAAACATGCATTTTAGTCTGGGATTAGTTCAAGCGAATCGTAGAGATCATGACCTTATGTCCTTGTAATAAAATACACCAATGACAGCCTGCAAGATGCTGACTGGCCAAATTATATCATATGACCCTATCATGCATGTTGACACATAAAAAAACCCAAAAAACTATTTAACAGCAGTAGGGCTGTGCAATGAATCAAATTTTAGTTTCCGTTTCAATTTTGGCTTCCAAGATTGTAAAAACATACCGTTCCTTTCCTTAAAAGCGGTGTGCTTTCGCCCCTCCTTAAAAGCCTAAACTTACTGTCCAAAATCAGTCAAATCATGTAACGTGACTGTCGTAAAATATAGTCTACTGCGGGTCATTGCTTTATTTTAAAAAGCGTTAATAAAAGCGCATTGAACTGTGAAAGAGACTGATCACCATGTGCTTTCTGTATTTGTGCATAAATGGTCATATATACACAAAAATAGGTAAAAAAAAGTCTGTTTTGGAGAGAATTTACATGATGACAATGTATGTAAATAAACAGTTGTGAAAAAAACAGGATGCGTGTCATTATATTAGATCTATGTATTCGGTCTTAAAGCCTAATGCAAATATCTGCTGCTGTCATTAATGTTAAACAAAACATAAAGACAAAATCACTCACTGCTCTTGACTAAATAAAAACCAATGTATATTTAATTCATACAGTGAAGAGTATGCAGTGTTTTTAAGTTTAACTCAGGGATTAATGACAATTCTAGTCCATTGTCTTGTCTTCTCAATAGCACATCCCAAAATGGAGAAGGTCGTGATTCAGATCGTGGATCATGATTGTTTGTTATAAGATCAGGATATAAAATATTGAGAATATCGCCCACCCCTAGTAGGAATTATTAATGATAATTACCTATGTCTGGGTTAAAGATCTCCTCTACGACCAGTTGAAAGAACTCTTTGGATACTCCTCCTTCATCCACTCCTTGCTCACCCTCAAACTCCACATACAGCTGCTTCTTCAGGTCTGCTGGGTTTTCCATGGCAATCATCTCCAACTAAAAATCAATCACAGATTCATTTTACATCCACAAATCATCTTCAACAACAAACCAATCAGATATCTTTGGGACCTCACTGGGACCTACCCTGACAAGAGCATCATCAATGACGTGGTCTCTGCGCACTTTGAGGCGCAGATAGGGGTTCAGCTGTTGTCCCTGCACCAAACTGTAGAGGGCAGTAATCCTGCGCTCGCTGTACATGCGGATCCGGTTGTCATAGTAGAGGCCAAGGTTCTTAGTCACAGGGTTAAGAATGAACGGGCAGGTCATAAAGGAGAACTTGCTCTCGGTCTCCACTTTGAAGAAAGTGTAGTCTTTGTCCATTTCCAGCACATCATTGAGTGGTTCATTGATGAACTCCTCGAAGGGGATGAGGGGTTTTCGACAGTCCGAGGCACGAATGCCTAGTTCAGTCTCCAGCGGATCCACCCGAGGGCCTTTTTTATTGCGTCGCTCCTCGCCCAGCAGCTCCTGCAGAGTCAACTCACTCGACTCCGGGATCGGCTCGTCGTCCTCCTCCTCGTTGTGACCCGTGTCTAGGTCGCCTCCCAACACGTTTGCATAGTATACGATTTTCAAGCACTTGGTGGCTGCCACCACTCCATCATCCTCGTTGACAAGGTTTTCACTGCTGAACTCGTTGCTGATGACTGTGTAGGTAATAAGCTGCTGGAAAGTCTCGACAAGACGTCGGATCTGGTCTGTGCCGTACTGCGACCACAACCACGCAAGCTTAGCCAGAGCCGGAAGAGGTAGCTTGCTCATTGCCTTGCAGAATTGCGGCAATGCTATTTCTAAGTATTCTGGACTGTGGAGGTTACTGTTCTCCATGACGATTATGAAGACGTTCAGATAATTAGGGTCGGTGGCGTACACGTTGTGATAGGTGAGGTCACACTCTACGTTGGGCGACAGGTAGACTAACGCGTTGAGGAATGCTGCTTCAATCTTCTCGTTCGATAATAGTCTGTCGTACACTCTTCTAACTGCATCAATGTCTACAGAAACTTCTACAGGATCAAATTTTTGGACGTTGTTCTCCCCGTGAGATGGTCCGTCTCCACTTGACGCTGAGGCTTCGGGTTCCACCTCCATCGCTGTGGACGAACCAGAGGCCGTTTCTTTCTCATCTTCATCTTTGTCCTCATCCTTGGCCTGAAGGGACTTGAGCTCTTCCTTGGTATGTTGCTTCGCCTTGCGGAAACTCTGGACCAGACTCTCCGCGCTTGAGAAAACCCTACCGATGACACGAATTAGAGGAGAATAGTCCTCAGTCTCACCGCAGAGGCTCAGGATTTCATACACCTTCTCCTCCGTCAGGAAATTCAGATCTGCCAAAGAACAGAGTAATGCACATTGAAACATTTGCAAAGTTTCCATTATTGAAAATGTCAATACTATTGGTATCGATAGAAATTCTGCCATCATGACAACGTTATTCACCTCTAAAGTCCTCCCTTGCGGGTTGTAGGTCCTTGTGGTTCATCTTCCCGTTGCTGCAAGCAGAGAAGTTGAGGGCTCCTTTGGCACTGTTCTCCGGGAAGGCTGAACTGGCTCCTTTCTTCGAGGGATGAGGATCACACAGTTTGGCATTATTCTTATATAACTCCAGGGCCTTGATGGCCGCTGCATTGTTATCCATGCGCTGGAAACCCGGAGAAGAGCCACAAGCCTCATTCGTGCAGGCCTCATTTCCACAGCCCTCTGTTAACTGGTGGTAGTAGCGCTCAATTAAATGCTTTGCAGCCGCTCGCTTCCTGCATCAGACATTCAAACAGGACAGCAGGGGGGATTAGTATGATTCAATCCCGAAAAAAGTGCAGAATAGTGCAAACACTTCTCTACTAGGGATGCACCGATCCGATACTCGGTATCGGCTCCGATACTGCCATTTTTGCCGGATCGGGTATTGGTAAGACGAAGCCGATCCAAATCTGACATTGTTCGTACTATTCTGTGTTATTGTTAAGCCCCACAAAAGGCACAAAAACATTAAACATTAGCACCATACAGTTCTTATAAGTGTTCTGAAGCCATTATATAGTATAATGTGAGATGTAAATTAATATTTAACTCATTCAATTCAAGATCATGTAAACTTTTCCCTCCACTGCGGCTGTCAGTCATTCTCCATTCAGCATTCAAACAGCGCGTCGCGTTCGGGTACGAACTAAGACAATGGTCTCAAACTCGCGGCCTTGTGGCCCCCTACTTGACATTAAAGTTTAACTTTAGTACGGCCCGTCGTTGCGTGTGCCGCATTTTTTTTTATCCCTTATGGCTACCATAGATAGTCTCGTGACATCTTACGGTGATGTCAATAGTTGTCATAGACAACCACGAAGTACAAACATACTGCGCCTGGAAAAAATGAGCACGCCGCTTCAATTATCATCAGAGCACTTTCCGCGCGCCTACATTTGAAATAACGAACTTGAGCACGCAAAATATGCGAGTACAATATGTCAACAGGCCCCTTGGAGAGCTACCACCAATCAGGCCATGAGCTATTGGCAGCTCGTGAGCGATGTGTTGGAGACCTCTACTCTAAAACAATGTGAGAATAATCATTTTGAGCTTGTAATGTGTCCAACAGGTTTTTTTGACTTTGTTTTGATTTGTGCAAAGTCAGTAATTTGCCTGAGACATGTGTAGAAAGAATTCAATTAGACGGGCAGACATGACTGCAAATATTTGTATTTCAAAAGCAATAATTGTTTTTCTAAGTATAATAAAAGGTAATGTGCCTTCCAAAAAACATTCAATATCATATTAATGTGTTGTATAAAGAAAATAAAAAGGACATGAGCAAATATACCCATCACAAAGTGTGATAAGGAAAAGACAAAGAAAGTTTGTAAAATGAACTTCAACTGTCAGAAGGACAGCTCATGAAGAATCAATCATGTACAGAAAGGAATTTTCAAACTCAGAACAGTTCAGAAGAAACGTTAATAATAAAGTTTGAGAAGATTGGATCAGTTGTGCTCCTTTTTTGGAATACTTGAATACTATTTTTTGTGGAATACTTGATGAGTATGCATGATGTGTTTACTATTTTTATACTTGATCTGCAGATAATGTCTATGGTTTCGCATAAAACAACTTTATATTGATGGACTTTATTGCTGTAACTAAATCATGTTATTTTCTACCGGGTGTCTGTTAGATCACATTCACAACACTAGAGTAGAGTCAGAGTACTATAATTGTTCTTCACACGGACAGAAACCGAAACTTAAAACTGTTAAAAGAAAAGGCTCAATAAACTATTGCAGAGATAGATACTGTATAATTCACTACGCATAAATGTGTATTTCCTTTGTGCTTTGAACTTTTCAATGCGGACTCGACGCGTTGCGCGCTGTGACTCCATGTGGTTTCAAGCGTATCATTCTGCGCTCGAATGCGCATAAGCACTTTGTGTCGCACTGTATTGGAGTGATAGATTATTAATAGCTTTTCTTGTTCTGTCCTATCTATCATATGTTGCTAAAAACTACACTAGTATCGGATTGTTATCGGCCGATACTAGGGATCGACCGATATGGATTTTTTAGTGCCGATACCGATACCGATTTTTTTCCCATCAGCCTTAGCCGATGACCGATACGGGCTGCCGATTTTCTTGAGCCGATATTTGGAGCCGATACATTTTGCTCCCTCAATTTACATCTTAAAAATAACATGATGTTAACAAATGTTACAGGTCTCAATTTAATAAAAGTAACATTTAACTAACTTCAAAAATTAATATTTAACAAATGGTAAAAACATGTGAGGTAGAACAAGAACAAGTAGATAAACAATTTAAAAAATATGAAAAACATGAAGTAGAACAAAAAAAGTTTATTTAAGCATATTAAGCATATAAATATTTAAGCATAAATTAAATAATTACACTATTGCACACAGTAGCAACCAGCAGCATAATAAAGTGCACAGTGCACACTGTACTTCATTTTAAAAGAAACGAACTATGTACTGCATGGTTTCAATTTTCCTACATAAAATAAAATGAGCATGTCTTGTCTCTAATATTACTGCGATTGCGAGGGAGACAAACTCCACACGCCCCAAACCTCAGCCAGGTGAGCGCTGAATAAATCTCCCACAAAAAGCACAGAATAACGTTGGCATTCCTTAATCCTATGACCAGAGTTCGTTACCGTATGCATACTAGGGCTGTCAAAATTGCTCAAATGGCGTTTGCATATTCCCTCTAAAAAACATATTCGAACATCCCGTTGCGCGTTTTGTTGTTGACGCGCATTACATCAATAACAGGACACATTAATAAAAAGAGACATAACTACTAGTATTAGATGGTTTATTTGAGTTTAAACATATTTGACAACGTATTAAAAAGCAAGTAAATCAACTAATGGCCAAGACCGCAGAGCTCACTCTGTCTCGCCCTGGACTCGCTCAGGCACTTTCTCTCTCTCTCGCCCTCACGGTCTCTGCGCGTCGGTTAAATGAACAACAAACAAATGTTGAGTGCTAAACAAGAGTTTTGTGCAAGCAATTTAAGGTTGCGAGTCGCGACTCTTGTCCCAAATATAGCAGGCTTCAGTTCATTCACAGTGATTGAAGTTTCACAGTATAGAACCGACAGTGAGCGCTCCGAGCGAGCTGTGCAGCTGTGGTAACGTTATTAGTCTGCAACCGCGGGCGTGTTTTTCCACATTCAAATATTAATTTTCACCTTCAAAATTAATAGATATTCGAATGTAGAATATTCATAGACTGTCCTAATGCATACTGAACGGATAACCTACACCTTAACTATTTGCAGCTTCTTAATACAATGGCAAGCAGTTAAGTTTTATAGACGAGGCATTCGCGTTTTCCATTTGGACCCACAAACTTGCTTAGTTGCAAGCACATAACAGTTATAGGGCGACGTGTTTCCATTTTCAAAGTGTTTGACAATATTTCAGGAGTCAAACATTTAAAAGATCCTTTGAAAGTTTAAGTTACCATTCTCGTGAAGAGCAGGTTGCACTCTGCTAGTGGAGGAGGGCGGGGCACGTGAACTGCAGCATCTCCAGCAGCACGGAGCTGCCCGTGGCCGCCTGTCTATAAATAACGGCGGGAAAAAAAAACTATCGGCGAACGCGCAGCGGTGTATCGGCCGATTCCGATACACGTAAAAACCTCAAATATCGGCCCGATATATCGGCCGGCCGATATATCGGTCGATCACTAGCCGATACTCGATACTTTTAAAAACCGATACTGATACTTATGGTATCAGATCGGTTTTGAAAAAGCGGTATCGTTGCATCCCTATTCTCTACTAAATCAAACTCAAAGAAAACCATCCATTTAAATTCTTTAACAGTCATAAAACATTGTTGCACGTGCACATGACTGGCCTACTCTTAAAATGAAGGAAAAAGAAAGCATTATACTTTAAATTCTTTAACAGAATTATTAATCTGAAACAGAATGATAAGAGTCAAAATCTGTTTTGGGGTGATATGTAAAAAAAAAAACAATCAAGTAAAAATGTATCTTCTTTTATAGGAAAATTGAACAACATTTTATTAAACTTTGATAATTGCCTCAATCTTTTAAACAAACTGAGAAGATGGTGATCAAACTACATTTGATAAAAATCATCTGCAAAGTTCCTGAATCTTACATCAGCATGAGTCTCAAATTGGAGGACCAGGAACACAACTCAAGGTCACTCATTTAACAGTTCGTCTATTGCCAAAATTCAGTTAAGAATAAGAAATTATTTTAAAAATTCAAATCAGAAATGTCAGAATCAGAATGAGTAGTTTGTGCGTTAAAAAAAATGTCCTTCAAAATACACTATAAAATACACAGCCAAAAAAAGCTGCTGTTTGGATGGGCAAAAACTTAAAGATTGGATCATTATTATAATGATTATTATGTTGTTTTTTTTTTTCATGTAATATGTTTGGCAACAGTTCTTCTAACCCTAATTGATGGAGTGTGTAGCTTTTCATTTATTAAACAACCATGTAGGAAGACACATCATGGCCATATTCCAGGATGACAACGTCAAGATTAAATTCATCAGACTAAAATTGTGAAAGAATGGTTGAGATTTGGGAGGGATCATGAACAATATTTTTTTTCACTCATGAATTAGCACAGACATTAAAATAATCCAGCCCTTAAATTCATTAAAAGTTTTTGGGATGTGCTGGTGTAGATTTTACCGAGCTGGACTCTTACATTGTCAAAACAAGACCAAAATTGTATGCACCTCAGTCTTGATAGAAATAAATGTTTGATGTTATTGTGATGTTTTTGCAGATTTTGACTCATATCTATAATGCTGCTACACATGCAAAATGGTTTTTGCACTGACACCAAAATATCATGCATTGATCAGTCACAATGTGTTAAAAAAACAATTAATTGACATTTAATTGACATTTGTCTTCATATCATCATTCATTTGACGCCAAAGTTTTGGGTTAAACAAGTTGCTCTATTGACAGCATTTGTGGCTTAATACTGAATTAACTAAAAAATAATTGATTCGTCCCTCAGTATACAAAAAATAAAATAAAATAATAAGCAAATAAAAATCAGCAACAGTAACAATTTACAATGGAAGAAAATGGAGGTGAACTTCCTGGGGGTTTAAAAGCATACATGCAGCTTGTATTTTTATTACAGTTAAAAAAAAAAAAAAAAAAAAAAAACTTAATCAGAAGTTTATTCACTTAGAAAGGTGTCATTCCAGAAGGCATTATTTAGGGAATTACATATCAAATAATTATGTGGCATCAGCCTAATTCATGCCAATATAATTTTGAGGTTTTATGGCTTATACTTTTAAAACACTGCAATAATGCAATAATGTTTATTATTGCCCCGGCCTTGTTCACCTCCAAGTGTATTACTGTAAAAATTACTTTTTTAATCAAGCCACTAGTCTGGCTTTTTCAACCAACCCAACAAGGTGCGGACACATTTGTAAAATTTCTGAAAAAATAACATGGGCAAAAAAAGACTAGCTGTCGATAAAGTAGTGACACAGACAGAAGCCACTTACTTTAAAACCAAGCAGCTTTCTGTTGGTCAACATGGTGAATTCACATGAGCAAAATAGTTCCCTAAATCTGTGTAGGGAACTTTTTTGGCCACTCATGAAAAACACTTAATCATGCAGATTCCTGTTGAACAACAGTTTCGCCCAGAAATTGTAAATGTGACCGCACCTATAGTATAGTGAAGAATTGGCTTATTCTTAACACAAAGTGTAAAATAGAGTCAGTAATTTGAAAACTGGCTATGTTGATTAAAAAAAGGTATAAACAAAGACACTTACATTAGACTTGCTTAAAGTTTCCAATATCACACTCTTCTTCAGCTCTGAACTCAAAGAGACCAAAAGGTGGTCAGGTAGCAATCCTGCAGATTAACAGAGAGAACAGGCATTTACATCAGTAACTTTACTACCACATTGCAGACAATATCCACAAATGAATGGGATTATACAGTTCATTTAATGCTGTCTGGTGAAAGGGATTACATCAACAACTGATAAAGACTACTCAGGGTGATTGAGAAAGAGTTTATTGTTGGTAAACACGAACTAACATGGATCACGGGGCAGAATGTCACCATAGATAGTGTCTTAAAACCGAAACTACGAAGTTACAGACAGTATTTGGGACCCTATGATGTACAAACATACTAACTAGGTACGTTAGTCAGCTCGCCAGTTTTTGACACGCACCCAATGCATCTGCAAGAACAGCAGCAACATAAACCTAAAAAGAGGCCAGAACTAAAAAACACACCGAGTGCTTTCGCCATAGTATCATCCCGTCTACCGGTAAACAGTCGTTTACACCGAGCAGGAGGAGGAGAGGCCGCAGAGGGGCAGGCAGGGGGTATGACAGTGCACAAACAACTTCAACCTTGCACAGACACGGTCAGTCTGTTACAGATCATCATAAAACAAACGAACACACACCCAATAGTCACGAATAAAGTGTGTTGATGATGACCGTGGCGCTTAAGGCAGAGTGAAAGCAGCAGATATTGTAACAGTAACTGGCATGGGGTAACGTTAGTTATGGCAGGAAAGAGCTGAGTAACTAGTTAGCCTAGCTGCAGCTAACGTTCACCACAGTCTTGACAGTTAACGTTAGACGCAACGTGTGGGTTTTACTTAACGGTTATTATTGCATAATCAAAAACGAAGGAGCAGTAAGGATGTGCACCAAACAGATTTCGCTTGTTTATCAGCAACTCGCTCCGTCCCTACCTGGAGCGGGTTAGCAGCGCGGCTAACTGGCCTAACAGCGCTTATTACGGCTTCGATCGAGCGCGATCGGGATGGGAAAAGGGGTATTAATGTTTTGACAGCTTACTTCTGAAGATGTTCTGATGCAGACGAAAGAATCTGGTCTTTCAACATCACAATCGCTCGGGTGCGGCGTGTATTCAACTCCAACCCCTCCACAAAATATTCACGGCCATCTTGATCAACTGTGGCAAACACGGAGAGCGATCCCACAATGCACCGAGGCACGAAGACAACCATCAGTGTAAAACACGGCACAGACCTCTGGCAGTCAGTCAAGATCTGACTGAGATGTGTGGGATACTTTGGAAAGGTTTAATAGGGTATACGTGTGCTTACAGTACAAACTAACTTTTAAAACATAACTCAAGAGTCTTTTTAAAATTTCATTATACATATATCAAAACCGAAACCATTGTAATATTAAGATTCATCAGCAGATGGCAGAATCCGAAAGGAAAACGGCAAAAACTATATTTGCATTTGCTGATGGAAATACCAGCAGCCGACCTATAGCCTACCTGCTGCACTCGTAGGCTACTAGTCGTGGGATTTTGATTTATCTTACTGATTCGAATCTTTTTTTTTTGAGTCGGTTTACCAAATATATTTATCATTCATCGATGCTTTTTACAGAGCAATATCATTGGAATCACTTTCAAAATATTTTGTGCATCAACATAATCATGATATTTACTAAATGCAATTTACATAAAATGGGGCGGGAGAAATTGTTTGTGAAAAAAATAGACTTCAGTGCAAAAAAACCCCCACTAAAATTTGTTTTAAAATTAATTTCATAATAAATCAACTGAAAAGATGTGTGTTGATGTGTGTACGTCGTTGCCGTAAAGCATGTTGTGATTCTCATGAGATTTGTCGGGGGCGCTCCTCTTAAACTTGCATTGGTTTTCCAGCAACATCCCCCCAAGCTTTACTACCAGGATGATTCGCCCTATGACTTTGAATCTGTTTTATTAAGGTACAATTCTTGCATAGTGTGCCTTTAAAAAAACACATTCGCACATTCACAAGAGAAATAAGTCTTTGCGTATCTAAACTACTAAGAAACTTTAGGTTTTCAATAATGGGCCAACCACAGTTCAGTAAATACTATTATGATATTGTTGCATTTGAATGTTGAATATTATGACAGTGTAAAGGCCCATTCACACCAAAAAGATAACTATTATGATATAACTAGCACCCACAGCATCGAAAAATAATGCTGTTTACTTTAAGAGCGTATTTGGCAAGCCGTTTTAGCTTAAATTGTACACAGCCTTACTCGTCGTAATTAAAATTTTACTAGTAAGAATCATATTAGACAGCTCTCTAATCGTAATTGCTACTAGTAGTCCTACGAATTGAATTGTAAAGCTCTCTAACTGAATGCTAACTAGTAAAAATGAAATTACGATGAGTAAGGCTGGGTTCAATTTGCTTGTTGGTAATAAACATTTAAACTGTTATCCATTGTATTTTATCACAAAACGGAATATAATACGAAAAAGTAGGTACTATCTAACAGCGGTTTGCAACGATTCTCCTTTCCCCCACAATGCATTGCATAACGTCACCTTGGGGAGAGAATTTCCAAAGCCCTCCTTGTTGAGAGCGATGAGTAGTAGACGAGAGTATTCAGATAGCACATATTATAGATAAATAAATAAATAAATATATATATATATATATATATATATATAGACAGACTAGATATAGACAAGTATAGAGAGAGATAAGTAGACAGCATTACATTAGCAGATATATAGCTAACATTAGCAGCTATAGAAATATATAGTAGATTGTAGACTGACAATGTCGAACTACTATGTTTGTGCTGGGTGTAAAACACACACACACACAAACACACACACAAACACACACACACACACACACACACACACACACACACACACACACACACACACACACACACACACACACACACACACACACACACACACACACACACACACACACACACACACACACACACACACACACACACACACACATAGGAGTATGTATAATTCCACCCCTAATAGCTAGCATGATGCTTTCTATTTCTAGATGACAAAGACACTATGACAAAGGTTACCGGTACTCATCTGAACTAACGTCATGATCATGTACTGCCACTAGATATAAAGAAAACATTGATTTTTCACTCTGTGCTATTCAATGACCGTAAAAAAAATACATGTGTCGTTATTGTGCACTGCTGCTCGTAAGTTAAAACGGCTTGCCATAGCTCGTAGACTAGCTCCAGTGCTCATTGCTGCGTTGCTAAATGATAGCAACTCACCAGGACACTTCACCAACTCTCCACTCATTCTCCTCAGACCATGCATTTAATTGGCTTTGACGGCCACCAGTTCTTCATTTGCCCTCTCACGTCTAGCCGGTTCAAAATTATACGGCCGCGGGCCATCATGCATGTTGGCTCTTCTTGCCAACTCTTCCTCATCCCAGTCAGTCGCCATAGTTCTAATACTTGGCTGAGGCGCCCTTTCCTCCGCTTCTCCCCAACGTGACGTCATCACTGAATTACGTAAAAAAACAAACCGTTAATACCAGAAACGTGTAAAACTGGTCTTTAAGACCATTTTTGAGACATTTTAAAAATGATATACCTTGAGTGATTTATGTACCCATTAATCAACCGTGGTGGTTAATCTGCAACATGGCCTTTAAGTTAAAACGGCTTGCCATAGCGTGTTTAGTGGTTTAGAAAAAACCCATCCAGAATGTTAAAGAATGAAAAGCGTTCCCTTGCAAGCACTGTAATAAAATAGCTGTGAAAAATGGAGTTTGATTAAAGGAAACACAAACTGAATGGCTTCCTGTTTACTGGTTTCCATAAGACTTAGTCTGTTCCTGTATTGACAACCTATCACGTCACCAGACCCTGTTCACATCTCACTATAGCCTTTTACAGCTGCAAGCAGCAGCAGTTGTGAAAGACTTCATTACCATTTATTGAGCTGAACTTTTGTTCTTTATCTAACAGTGTAACACTGATTTATCAATTTGCTCAGACGTTTCTTAACAAAAATCTTAACGCAGATCTGTTTATCACAATGGCATGATGGTACGATTGCAGTAACTAGGAATATTTTGGAGTCAACACAGTGCTACATGGAGAAATTGTTAGATATTTGAACATCTAACTCTTATCCCAAGCTATTCATCACTGTAAAATGCATGATAATCACCCGTTAGATTACACATGCATCCCACTGTGTGTTTTGCTTAACAAGAAAACCCCCCCTTGAAAGACACAAGAGGCATTCTGTAAATTCGGAGGAAGCTCTTGTAGGCTTGAATAATGGAAAAGGTGACTTTATGATGATGCAGCTGTGGAGAATGAGGATCTCATGAATATAGACAGCTGTTTAGCCCGGAGTCAACATGATTTGAGATCCCACCCCACTCATACAAATGTGCTCAAGCATTATGAGATGGAAAGACTGAACTAATCTAAAGAGTGCAGTTGTTGTGCTGCATTTCTATGGTAGATAAGAGGAGAAAACTAGGCCTATTTATATTTTTAACAGAGACTCTCTCTGCATATGTTCATAAAATGTTCATGGATTTAGCCATGCACTAAAAGTAATCCTTTTTTTTTTTTTTTTTTTAATTGATCAATTTAAAAAGAAAAAAAAAAGGATTACGTTTGGTGTCTGTAAAATACTTCACCTATGAACACAGTAGATTGGTAATACTATTTTAACATTTAAAAGAACCGTTTTGTATTTAAATATGTTTTAAAATCAGCATGTAATCAAAGTTACATTTTCAGCATCATATTTCAGTCTTCAGTGTCACATGATCCTTCAGGAATCAATCCTTGGCACTCAAGAAACATGCTGGAATCCATTTTTGCTGCTTACTGTTTTTGTAGAAACTGCGATACAGTTCAATATATAGTTTTAGTAAAGTAAGATAAAAAAGTCTCATCCCCAAGGCGTCATAAAGCCTGCTGACGCGACGCACATGGCACCCTTAGCGTCAATATTAAACGCAGGTATATATTGGTCAGAAGGCGCCTCCTAGTGGTCTAACCCTAAAACTACCCCACATCCAAACATATCCATAACTGAAGCGTGTTATTTTGACGCTAAAGGGTGCCATGTGCGTCGGATTTAGACGCAATGTGAAAAGCATCAATGTATCACGCCCTTTGATCAAATGTGTCAGGGCTTTTATAATGTTAGAAAATATTAGAATTTTAAATAAACATTGTTCTTTTGACCTTTCCAAGATTCCTGAAAAAAATATATGTTCAATATTGATAGGCTATTATTAGAAATGTTTCTTGAGCAGCAAATAATCATATTATAATGATTTCTGAAGGATCATTGAAGAATGCAGCATTGATGCTGAAAATACAGTTTTGCATCACAGGAATTACTTAGCCTACATTATAAAATTTGATAAAATAGCAAACAGTTATTTTAGTGGTGAGATACATTTTTAAAAACATAAAAAAAACCTTCTCATAAAAAATAAACATAAAAAAAGATTTTAAAGTTATAAACTATATGTATTTCTGAAGTTAGTGACTTTGATGGCTTCGAGGGGACTTTTTGCAACTGGGGAGGCTGTTTTTTCACCACAAGCCCTCGGCCAGGTTGGCCACGTAAAGCGAAAGCCCATGAAGCCCAGAACACTTCAGGCGCTTTTGTGACATTAAAAAGTGCCAATGCTTTAGGAAGGACACTCACTGCAGTACATAAACAAGCTACCAGTGACAGACACTGTCATTATTTGACACACAAATAGTCAATTTCACATGCTATCTAAGGATTTATTTCAGCCAAGAGTTTTCAAATACCAGAGGTCTGCTATGTGTTGAAGAATTTGATTTTTAAAATAATGCATAACAAAATGGAATGTTGGGGGGGGGGGGGGGGGATATGATGCTGTGGAGAAAAAAGGACACCATACAATTCATTTCAAAGAAAAAAAGACATTATAGTTCCCACAAACCAATAAACAAACAAGTGAATTGTCAATGTCTGAGGGTTCCTTTTCTTTCCCTCTTCATGTGTGCAAAATAGCATCAATCTTCCAAGCTGTCCCCTTGAGCCACATAGCCTACATAAAAAGACTGAGAGCAAACTGGATTTGCAGTAAGTGTGATGGCCGAACAGGAAGCAAACATTGTGGTAACAGGTAACAATTTATAGGGCTATACAATGTTTGCTATC